CACCAGTCAGTGATCCACGGTTGCTTATGAAAAGCCCACCCTGGGCCCTCGTCCCCTGCAGGTGACTGAGGAACATGAAAGACTTGTGTCAGATGAACTTGGCCCTCCTGGGTCCCCCACAGAAAGCAATTAGAGCCACTCTGCTTCCAGACCAGAAGTGTCTTCCCCCAGGGGCCGTTCTGTCTGAGGGTGGCCGTTACATTCACACAGACCTTCCCCGAGGTTGCTGGGGTTCCCTCTGGGGAATGTTCTCTGGTACCCAGGGTGGCTCGAGTGGCCATTTGGGGGGAGGGAGGTGGTGGCAATGATGTCATCTCATCTTCCCCTGTCTCCCTGTCACACTGCCCCTCTGAGCACCTGCCCCCTCAGGACAAAGCGGCCACCTGTCCGCAAAATAGGAGCCCCGGGGCCTAGCACCATTGCGGCTCCATTTCTCCCCTTTCCTCTGAGTCTAAGGCTTTTGCATTTCCACTCAGAGTCCCCTTTGAAGATACTTACACCTCCTGGGAGAGGTCAGGCTCTTAGCAGTTCATCACCAAACAGTCGCTTTAATTACCAGGAATTAATTAAGTCAACAGAGAGAAAGACAGGGACCCGCGCAGGCACTTGGGGGCAAGAGTGCCTGAAGGGACGCAGTCCTGCTGGGCAGGAGAGAAGGGAGGGTGGCAAGAGGAACTCCCGTGTGCGTGTCAGGGGCTGCCAGTGGGTGCTGCTGAGCCCACCCCGCGGCTGGCTCTGGGGCCACCCTGCTGGTCCTGCTGGTGGGGCCAAGGGTGCTGCAGTGGTAAATGGGGCTCGGAGTCCGGGTGGCGGGGTGGGGGGCGGGGAGGAGACTTTAAGCGGAGTCCTAAAGGGTTGGGGAGGTTGTTTCTATATGCTCAGTTTAGAAGTTTTTGGAGCATCCAGGAAGGAAACGAATCTCTCGTCATTTTATACCTACGGACAGACAGACAGCAACAGGCAGGGGGTCTAGGCCAGGTGACGGAAGTTCTCACAAGCCTGTCTGCAGGACACTCTTTCACGTCTGTGAGCGGAGTGAGTGACGAGATCACAGCGGCGTTCAGGGAAGGCTGGTCTTAGGATGACGGTGGGAAGTGGCTGGGGGGAAGAGGTAACAAGGACAGGGACGGAGCCGTGGAGCGGGACCAATGACATCAGCGAGATGCGACTGAGGCCGGAGGTGCCCCAGCTGCTACGGGAAGGTTTGCAGGGCTCCCAGCCTGGCAGAGTCTAACGCCCTGTCCGTGGCTTTGGGTGGGGCGCATGGCAGAGGGAGGGAGGGCAGGGGCCTCCTCGCTGGGCCTGCATCTCCGACTGCAACTGGGCCAGAAGCCTGTCTGTTCTTTCTGGTTTGTCCGAAAGTGGCGGTGAGCGCTACCGGAGGTTCGGGAGTCCGCGCATCCAGGGCAGCGCCCGGAACCCGCGCGTCCCACCACCTTCCATTCTCATCTTCTGTCGCCCAACTTTTATCTGTTTCTCAGAACAAGTCATCTTTGACTCACAGACCCATTTGGATTGGTTTAATTGACTGGAAATACTTACTCTTTCTAAGCGGTTTCTGTCTCGCTAGACTGCTAGCCTGTTTTCAAAATGGCTTTGGCCAAGATGAGATTAGCACAGAAGTGATTTTGGCATAATCAGCTACTTATGATCTTTTGGTACAAGGTATGTTTTGAGACCGGTATTTCCGTGGTGTACATTTCAGTTTTTTTTAAGAAAAGATTTTACTTATTTATTTTTAGAGAGAGGGGAAGGGAGGGAGGAAGAGAGGGAGAAAAACATCAGTGTGTGGTTGCCTCTCGTGCGCCCCCTACTGGGGACCTGGCCTGCAACCCAGGCATGTGCACTGACTGGGAATCGAACTGGCGACCCTTTGGTTTGCAGGCTGGCACTCAATCCCCTGAGCCACACCAGCCAGGGCCATTTCTTTATTATTTTTTTTTAATCCTCCCCTGAGGACATACTCATTAATCTTTAGAGGGAAAGAGAAGAAAGCAGGGAGGGAGAGAGATCGAGAGAGAAACATCAGTCGGTTGCCTTCTGTACGTGCTCTGACCAGGGATCAAACCCGAAACCTTTTGGTATTCGGGACAGTGCTCCTACTGACCGAGCCCCCCGGCCAGGGCTAATGTATTCATTTTCTAGAACAAATATTTGAGCGGCCGCTACATGCTGGGCATGTTCGAGGAACTGGGAATGTAACAGGGAACAAAATAAAGAAAAAAAATCTTACCTTCGTGGAGCTCCTGTTCTAGTGCGTGTGGCCTTCCAGACAACAAGTAAAACATAAAGTGTGACACGTGGTGAAAAGTGTTTTGGAGAAAAACAGCAGGGACCGAGGACCGGGAGGCTGGGTCGGGAGGGAAGTCAGAGAAGCCTCACTGATTTAGAGACATTGGAGCAGAGATCTGAGGGAGGTGAGAGGGGGCTGTGCAGGTCGCTGATGGAGGAGCTCAAAGCCAGAGAAGGCTCGAAGTTTATGGAACAGCAAGGAAGTCAGTGTGGCTGCGGCGGGGAAGGTCAGCGGACCGGCCTCGTCTGAGAGGGTCGCCTGGGCTGCTGGGGGCGGAAGCAGCCGGCCTCAGCTCTCAGCTAAGAGTGGGCATCAGAGCTGGAATCATCTGAGAGCCTTTTCCAGGCCAGCTGCAGTGGGGGGGACCCCAGGACTCCAGGGTCAGCTGGAGCACATGCGTGACCTTGGGGACTCACTCCATGCCCTTGTTCTCTGACCCCCGGCTGACTGTCAGGGCCTCTGATTCCAAGCCAGGCCCCAGGTGGGCCCACAAGTCTGCGTCATTTAGCTTTTTGGGGTGATTTTTGGGGCCGGTTGTTTTCAACCCCAGACAGCATCAGACCCCTGGGTGATTTTTTTTTAAATGCCTGACCCCCACCCCCAAAGATTCTGACCAAACTGGTGTGAGGTGGGGTCAGGCATTAGTGCTGCTGCCAGAGATGCATCCAGGGCTCACATCACTGTTCTGGGGGATAAATAAGCCTTGTGCCTGGTGTTCGGTGGAGAAATTTGAAGGGGTGGCCGCGAGCAGGAGGCTTCAGCCCCTCTGAGAAGGCCGAGGCAGGGCCCGCCCCAGCCAGGAACAGTAGGAGTCTTTTATCTCATTTGATTACCTCCCTTCTCTGGGTCGCCATGTTCTTGGCACAGAGTCAGCCACTTACATTTAATGGTTTCCTGGGGTCTCCTTGGCCCCTAAGCTAGAACCACTACGCTAGAACAGGTTCTGGAACCCTGTCTTCTAATCTCTGCCTCCGAACCCCCAGAGGTGTGTCATCACTGTGGCAAAGGCCACGGTGATTGTCTCCACGCCCCACGGCGAGAGAACCCGTCCCACCCACCACAGCAGCTTGGGACAACGAGGCTGTTGGGAAATCCGAAATGTGAAATCTGAACTCCCGGTTCAGAGTCTCCGTTCAGAGTCTCCAGTGGCCCTGGAGGCCCGCAGTGCCCCGAGAGCTGGTCCTGGCTGCGCCGCACCCTGGCACGCCCCCTGTGAAGAGGGGATAGCGTTTTTGCACACTCGGAGGCTCCCAGACGTTGGAGTGTGCCATCGGGGTGTGCGGTGTGGTAGCTCCGCCTGGGAGAAGCAGCCGGCCGGAGTCAGCGAAGCCCGGTCCTCCGGTGCGCCTGCTCCTCTCCGCAGCCAGACTGTGTTCCTGGTGCGAGAGACAGTTCGAATGAGCGGCAGACACCAGGGGCGCAGGAGCTGGGGTTAACCCAGAATGAAGCCTGAGAACGCCCTCCCTCAGGACAGGGGTTCCGAGACCCCCTGGCCGCGGCCCCTGGTCTCTGGCTTCTGCCCTTGTTTGGGCAGCGCAGTGTCTGCTTGCTCGTTTATATTTTGAAGTGTGAAGGTTGAAATAAGAGAAGGAAACACTTCAGGGGAAAATAAGTTTGTCTGATTTTTTTTTTCTTTTTCTGTTTTCCTTCTATAGCGTTGGGATCAGGAGTTTTCGTTCCTTCCCCTCGATTTTTCCTTTGATATTGTCCGTGTCTCTATTCAGAATCCAAACTCAGGGCCAGTCTGTCCAAGTTAAGACAAAAATAAGGTGGTAAGCGAGTGCAGGGTGAGGGAGTGAGCAGAGTTAGAAGTGAAGCTTTTCGTTCTGTCACCCTCCCTACCTGTGAGTTTGCCCCGCTCGCCTGCCCCCTGGTGCCACGCCGCCCCCTGACCCCCGCGTCCCCTGCTTCAGCAGGCCTCTGCACCCTGGCGGGCGGGCTGTGCGTCACCGTGGTCGTCCCCAGGTACCTGGTCCCTGTTCCTCGGGCACACGTCCAGTCGGCCTGCCGCCTAAAGGCCCAGCAGTCTGCTGGGACGCGCCGAGCAACTGTGAGAGACGGCTCGATGGCCACTGCAGTGGGTGGCCTCATGATGAACCAACACAGACTTGCTCTGTGTAAGGCATTGTAGTGAGAGCCTGACAAATGTCAACTCGTTTAATCTCCGTAACACCCACTTACCTGTTGGGGCTCAGGCTCAGATGATGTGGACCCACCTGCCCGAGGTCACATGCATGGCTAGCAAGTAGCAGAACTGGGATTTATTTATTTATTTATCTATCTATCTTTAGAGGGGAAGGGAAGGAGAAAGAGAGGGAGAGAAACATCAATGTGTGCTTGTCCATGGGTCCCCTGCTGGGAGCTGGCCTGCAACCCAGGCATGTGCCCTGACTGGGAATGGAACCGTGATCCTCTGGTTCACAGGCCCGTGCTCAATCCGCTGAGCTACAGCAGCCAGGTCAGAGCTGGGATTTGAATGTGGGTCAAGTCTGCACTCGGAACCACCACACTGGGATGGGGAAGGAGGCAAGGTCTGGGTTCGGGGCGAGAGTCGTCCTTGACTGTTTGGGGGACCTGCGTTGAATCGATGTCGGAGGTTTTTCTCGGGGTTTGACATACACTATTATTACTGTTATTTATCATCTTAACCCACTTTAATGTTGACCTTGAAGCCTATTAAAAAACGTTGTTCTCTTTCTTTCCTTAGGTGGTGTTTGGACTGTAGACCATGTGCCTGCGTAGAAGCTGCCCCTGTCCCCGCAGCTCCGCGGCCCCAGCAAGGCGCCCCACGCCCTCCTTCTGAGAGCCCCCCCCCAGGTACGGTGTCGAGCTGGCCTTCCAGAGCCGAGAGTCTGGACACGAGTGATTTTCTTGTTGTTGTTGCTTTTCCTTGGGAGTTGTTATTTTAAAGTACAGTAAAATGCACATAACAAAATGAACTGTTTTAACCATTTTTAGTGCTGTTCAGGGGGATTCAGTACATTCACACCACCATGCACCCCCGGGTCTTTTCCTCTACCCCAGCACAAACCCTGTGCCCATTAAACGTGACCTCCCCCTTCTTGCCCCTCCCCCCGTCCCTGGCAACCCCCCCCCCCCTACTTCCTGTCGCTCCGAATCTGACCACTCCAGCCGCCTCCTGTGAGTGGAATCCAATGGGATTCACGTTTTTGTGCCTGGCCTATTTCCCTTAGCGTGACGTCCTCAAGGTTTACCCACGTTTAGCCTGTGTTGAGTCTTTATTCCTTTTCAGGGCCAAATACTATTCCACTGTCCGTTGATGGCGCATTGTGCCTGTCCACTCATTAGCTGATGGACAGTCTGGTTTGATCCCCCCTGTGGGCCATGCTGAATGATGCTGCCGTGAGTATTATAGGCAAATGCCTCTGAGGCCCCGCCTCCAGGTCTCCTGGGTCTGGGCCCCGACTGGATGGTGGGGTGATTCTATGTTTCATTTTTCTGAGGAACCACCCTGCTGTTACTCATAGTGTCGACACCGACACCGTGTAACATTCCCACCAGCAGTGAACAGGAAATCCAATGTCTCCACGGCCTCACTGACCCTTGTTAATTTCTGCGGTTGGGTTGTTTTTTTTTTCTTATTTTGGATAATAGTTATCCCAGCGGGTGTGACCTTGGTGCGTGTTGTACGTCAGTGCACAAATGTCGAGAAGACAATATGATGAACCTCCGCGGACCCCTCACCCGATCGGCAGTCCGTGGCCGGCGCTGTCTCGTTTCTCCCCCCACTCCCTGCTCGCTTCCTCCCTCCCTGTGTTGTTTTGAGGCGAACACCAGACATCACATAATTTTATCTGTAAACATTTCGTCACGTGTCTTGAAAACACGAGGGCTTGGGTGTTTCATTTTGTCTGGCGGTGGCGGCGGGGGGGGGTAGGGGGATGTTCCTTTGGGCACTTTGTTCCCGATCACTCCGGCGGGTCCGCGGGGACACACGTAGTGGACGCAGAGCTGGGCCCCCGTCACCGTTCTGGGTGGGCGGTGAGGGGCTGCTGTGGCCGGGGCCCAGCTCTCGCTGAGTGCCAGCTCCCCCGGGTCTGAGCAGCCGGCGTGGAAGAGGCTGCCTAGATCTCGGCTGAGAGCGGGGAAGGTGAGAGGAGGGAGGGGGAGGGGTATGAGGAAGAGCATGAGAGAGAGAGCAAGGTGGGCAGGGACGGGGGACACAGGGACTGGAAGGGGAAGAGTGCGTGGCCGTGTGTGGAGGGACGAGGAGGAGGGGAAAGATGGGGGGGTGGGAGAAAACACCTGGGAGAGAGCGCCTTCGCCAGCCCCCAACCTCCTGCAGTCATGCAAGGGAACCGCACAGAGACCCCAAGACTAACACCCCATTCCTTGTGTCCCCCCCAAGCCTTCCGAGTTTGGACTCTTTGGGAGCATAGTTTGCCTGTGGTGGACGAGACTGGTGTCACCCTGGGAGCCACCAAACACACAGGTGCCCACGATGTGGAAGGGTAACCCCACGGAATAGCCACGTTCCATTTTTGGGGGCCCTTTGATCAGAGAGTGTAGGCTTGGTGCCCAGGAGATCCGAGGCTGCTGGCTTCTTGCTTAAATTTGGGAGTCCCCACCACCCAGAGATGACACTTTTACAAAGTTCAGGGGGATGGACTCCTCAAGGATGGTGTGTGAACAAGAGGTGACCTGCGGCCCTTTCAGTCTCAGTCTGTTCTTCTTGTTCCCCTCTAACTAGGTTCACGCCCACTTAGTGCTAAGACTTGTTTGCCCTGAAGGGGGCGCTGGTTACAGTGTGTCTGTTTGGATCTCAGTTTGTGTCTGTTTGTGTCTGTGTGTCTGTCCCTGTTGAAACTTTGTTGCCCATTCCTAGCTTCTGCTCCCAGCACCGCAGCATCTCACTCAGCTCTATAGTCCTGCGTAATCCCGGCTCCCTCCCGTCCTATCCCCATTTCTTCCTTTTAATCTTTAAAAAAATATATATACATAACAGCTCTATTGAGGCAAAACTCCCAGGGCACACAATTCGCTCATTTAAAGTGCACAGTGCAGTGGTCTTTAGTATTTTCACAGAGCTGTAGCCCCGGTGTCCCCTCTCTCCCCTGGCATTGCCCCGATCCCTTCTCAAGACAGATGGCCTTATTGTGGGGACACTGGCCAGTGGGCACTTTGCACCAGTAGAATATCTCCCTCCGCCACCCTGCGGAAGCCAGAATGCATAGACATTACACGCTAAACACAAGGAACAGTGCAAATTTGCCAACTGCTTGACTGGTAAAAAGCCCGCTCAGGAAGCAGGGAGTATCCATGACTAGTCTCAGTTCTGGGCAGGCGAGTGTGTCAAACTGCTCTCCCTGTCGAGTGGCGGATTCCCCTCCAGCGCACACACCGGAGCCTGTAAACAGGCAGTGAGGACACAGGTCCAGAGGCGGGACGAGCTGTGAGGAAAAATAAGGTGGAGCGGACGGGTGGAGGTTGACGGTGGGCTTGGGGACTGGTGGCTTATGCACAGCGGTCACCAGCGGTCACGGGAGCCTCCCTGACAAAGTGGCATTTGAATAAAGGCCGACCGGCAGGCGGCGAGGACTGAGCCCCCGAGTCCCCGAGATCTTGGGGGGAAGGTTCCAGCAGAGGGCATGTGACACGTGGGCTCTGAGCGGGGTGTCCGGCTGCGGTGCAGGGACAGGAGGGCAGTTAAACTGCCCCTCACGCCCCCGCAGGTGGGCCTTGGTAAAGGTTTTACTCTGCGTGACGTGGGGGACAGTGTGGAGCGACACGAGATGACAGGTGTGATGGGCGGCACTGGGTCTGCTGTGTGCAGAGCCAGCAGCAGCCGGCAGGCGGTCGTGGGAGAGAAGGGGTGCAGAGGCTGTTAGAAATGTCCCGCTCGGGTAGGACATGAGGGCGCATTCCCAGGATGTGCGTGCAGGTCAGATGCCGGGTTCAGAGGGGCGAGGACTCATGGACGCCCAGGGTTTGGCCCAAGCCCCTGGAAGGATGGAGTGGCCACTTCCTGCAACAAAACGAGGAACCCGGGGAGGAAATCGAGGGCTGGATTTGGGACAGAGTGGGGTCGGATCGCCCGTCTCAGGAGATGCCCACACTTGGACTCTCAGGGTCCTCGTGGATAATTTAGTAGGTGCCTGTGGAGGGGCTTATGAAATAGAAGACGGCACAACATTTTCCCGAAGCAGCTCCTGAGGCAGCCCTCCTCGCTTCCTCCCTGCAGGACACCTGCCCTGGATGGGCCTTCAGGGGCACCGCCTCGGCGTGGCTGCTGGGGTCTCCAGTGGGGCGGGGTGGGCCCTCGGGAGCAGGTCCTGGCCCTTCTTCCCCCGGGTCCCCAGTGCCAGGCGTTGGTCTCGGCGCTTGGTGAACGTCAGACGGGTGGCCCTCCGTCTCCGAGGCTCAGCTCCGCCCGTGTAAGGTGCAGAGGTTGCACCGGGTCAGCACAGTAGGATCAAGCGGGAAGCTCAGACGAGCGCAGGGGTCTGCCCCAGACCCCCCGGGTCAGAACTCTCAGGCTTCAGAGCTGCATGTTGTTCTTTTGCAGTCGGTGCGGCAGCCGTCTGCGCACGGGCGCCCGGGAGCCACCGGACCCGATAGCCCCTGAGGCCCCCTCCAGCCCCGACGTCCTGTGAGTCTGGTTGGAGGGCTTGCGGGATTGCTCTGTTCTGGGGAAATGGGGCTTTTGGCCGGGGCAGAAGGGCCTGCGTGGGGAGAGGACAGGCTGCCTCCGGGTGAAGGGCGCCTGGGGCAGGGACAGCGGCCCGGGCTGTGGGAAGGCATTAGGAAGGGACCTGGGGCGGCGGAAGGCAGTGACGGCCAGCTGTGTTAGGTCCTGGAACCGGAGGTAAAGGGCGTGACCCCAACTTGTGGAGAAGCTCACAGACGGGAAGGAAGTGCTGCCACAGGGGGGGGGGGGGGGGACGGGAAGTCAGTCTGGGGAGGGCAGGGAGTCCAGGAGGGGCCCTGGGGCGGTGGAGGGACTCTGGGTGGGGCGGGGCGGTTAGTGTCTGGGGCCGATGGGTGTCAGGTGTCCCATCAGAGACATGAGCAAGGCCGAGAGAACCGCCTGGGAGCGAGAGGGGCCTGGAGAGTGGCCGGGGAGGCGGCAGGGACCCGGTGGGAGCGGACCAGTCCCGCCCGCCCCGCCCTGGAGCTCTGTGCCGAAGGTGACGGGAGTTTTGAACAGGGACTCGTCTGGGATCAGATCCGAGATCACGGCGTCTGCTCCAGCACGGCAGCGCCCAGGAGAGGCTGGGGCCAGACAGGGAAGGTGGTGACAGGCGCTGCTGTCCTTTTGCCTGGGTCCACGGGGCACCTGTTGGCTCGTCTGTTGCTCCTCTCTTGGAACCGTCTTTTGCTCACGGTTAGAATTCGAGCCGCCTCATGAAACGAAACTTCGGCCACTGACCAACCCAGAACATGGGCGACTTGGAGTCCCTCAGACCTGTGAGCGGGCCGTCCAACTCCTGTTGAGGGAGAGGCACGGTGACAGGGGCGAGGGCGGGAGTCTGCTCGTCCACGCGAGGAGTTAGTCTTCGAGGAAACCCAGCCCGCCTCCCTTCATTCGCCCAGCGTGCAGCCCCCTCGCCTGTTGAAGGACTGAGATCCTTCAGTCCAGTTTAATTTCACTTATTAAACCAAGACCTGCCCCAGATCTCCACCCAGGTAATTGGCGAGAGCGCAGGGGCGAGAGGCGGCTTCTGTGTTCCCCATTTCATACTTTTTTAGCTCGGCCATTCCCAGTAGGGGGGCTTCATTCTGGGTCCAGGGATGTGGGACTCCTTTTTTTTTTTCCTATTTCCTTGGATCCAGCCAAAGTTTCTCCCTTCTCCACCACCCTGGGTTGCACTGTCTCTCTGAGCAGCGTCTGAGCAGCGTCTGAGCAGCGTCCACACGGAAGCCCCTGCAGGTCACGGGAGCTGTGGCTTACTCTCGCGCTGGCTCAGACTCTCCCCCTGAGCGGTGTCCTGTCCTGCCACCGAGTAAGTGGTCCTCCCCGGCAGCCACTCAGGCACTTGCTTCTGGTCCCAGCTTCTGCTAAGTCTTCTCTCTCTCTCTCCCTTCCTCTCTTCCTTCCTTCCTTCCTCCCTCCCCCACCCCTTCCCATCTCTATATATATCTGTCTCACACTTCAGCCATTCTTTACTGTCTTGCCCCTGCTGTGTTCCTTCTTCTAAGATCCAAAGCTGAGGGGAACTTCACCCATAACCCATTTCTTTTTTTTTTTTAACAATGCTTTTTTTAAAAAGATTTTATTTATTTATCTTTAGAGGGGAAGGGAAGGAAAGAAGGAGAAAAATAACAATGTATGGTCGCCTCTCCTGAATTCCCCTGCTGGGAACTGGCCTGCAACCCAGGCATGTGCCCTGACTGGGAATCGAACCAAGATCGTGTGGTTCGCTGCAGGCCCGCACTCAATCCACTGAGCCACACCAGCCAGGGCTCGTTAACCCCTATCTAAACCCTTGCCCCAGTCAGAGTCAGCCGCAGTCAGTGGGTGGGCTGGGGAAGAGTTCCCCGACAGGTTATCTCACACACGCACGCACGCACGCACGCACGCACGTACGTACGTACCCGCGTCCTTCCTGCTAGTCCTGCGCCGAGGGTTGATCGTGAGTGAGGTTGAGGCACCACCGCACGTCTGTGGTCCCAGCCCAGCGCCGCTGGGTCGAGCGGCTCTCGCTTTCACCGTGAAAGTCTGCCCTGCTGTGTGGTCCCTTGCCCCCATCCACAGTGTGCTGCACCCGAGTCAGATTTTTCTAACTGCTCTCGGAGTGCCTCTGCCCCTTTGATGTCCTGTTACTGAACTTCTGTTAATCTGCTGTTTGTTGGTGAACGTAATTAACACTGCTAAAAAAAACATGGCCAAGTTCAGCGGTCACTTGAAAGTCGGCAGCGTCAATACCGAGGGCAAGGGAGCTCCTCGGTGTAGTGGCCGTTTCTTGTTCCCAGCTTCTCGGAGCCTTTCACTGTTCTTATTTCTAAAGTTGAGTAAGTGCGGGCTTTCCTGCATTTGCCTACACGTTTTGTTGTAAACTTCAACATGCTGCCCTTTCCTGTCCAGTATTTCGAAGTTTGATGAACAAACTTGGACTTTGGTTACGCCTGCTGGTCCCTAAACCTTCATCTCCGTGGAGCGAAATAGAGCGCAATTTTCAAAGGTTCTCACCAGAAAGCTCCTCATCGGCTTTCCATCCTGACTCGTTTCTCAGCCTGCCTTCCAGTTCTGGGGTGTCCTTCTCAAGGGGTGGGGACCCCCCCCCCAGTGCAGGGAGCCACAGACACTGAGTGGTTTGAATATGGGCAGGGGCACCGGCATTATCTCGTCTCCAGTGTCCTTGCAGGTGATGCCTGCTGTTTCCCGGGCCTTCTGTGACCACAACGTGCAGCCTGATGTCTTCCGGAAACGGCCTGGGTGGACACGAATTTTGTTATAAATAATCCTGTAGTGATGATCTCAGTCATGTGCATACCAATGTCCTTAGGATACGTTTCTGCAACTGGAATTATTGGGCCTTATATATTGCTAACTCGCCCTGGTTGTTTTTTTTTTTTTTTCTGGAGGGTGGTTCTAAAACATTTTTTTTAACATAACAATGAGGCCTCCCTGGGGCTGTCCACATGGATGTATGTGTCCCACACGAGTGAGCCTGAGCAAAGGCATGAAACATGAGTGACATAAAATTATGCTGGGGAGTGTTGTGTAAGCAATAAATGTCACCGTTTGCAGCCACAGGAGTTCTCTGCAGAGGCTGAATCCTGGGCAGCGTAACTCCTTCCGGCCGGAAGGGCATCCGTAGCAGCAGGCCAAGCAAGCGGACTTTCTGCTCTCGGGACGGGCTCTGTACATTTATGTCATTGTCAGAAGGCTGACTTTGCCATGTGTCTGCCAGCGCTAAGGGCGATCAGAAACCAGGGTGTGTTTGATAAGCCAAAGGTGGTTGCTCACGATTTTCGTTTATAGTTCTCTCACTTTATTGGTAGGCGCCCGGGGTTTTATCGGCAGAGTCGTTCCTGACAGTTCCTTCCCCAGCTTTTGTAACAGGGTTCCTTTCGACGAGCGTCCGTTTTCTACTTGTAAACAGTGTGATGCATGAGAGCCAAGCTGAAGGAAATGCACTCAGTTACACGGTGAGGCCCTTAGTCACTGCTATCAATCGCTGGCATTGGGGGTTCTCCTCACGAGGGCAAAACAGAAAACAGGACCGGATCTTTGGCTTCCAAAAGCATCAGCTTTACTGGTTAAAACCCAAGGGCTAGACATGTTTTCCCTGCCACCGACTCTGAACAGCCACCCCATTCACTATCTCTGACTTTCCCAGCAGAAGATACCGTACCTGCCTCTGGCTGTTCTGAGCCAGACACAGAGCTTTCTGGGCTTTGTGGAGGACATTGCTTTCTTCTGATGTAATATTTCTCTGCTTCAAGAGTGAGACAATAGGAGGCTCCCCGCTACTTCCCCCACATGCCACCAACTACCCCTCCTCCCCACACGCTCTCCCCAGCTCCTTAAAGAGACAAATCTCTTCTGCCTGGTCCTCAGTCTTTTTTTTATCCCTAGAGAGTAAAAAAAAAAAAAAAAAAAGGAGGGGGGTGGAATCAGCTTACAAAGCAAACGTCACCCAGGTGTGCCCTCGGTATTGGGGTGCCAGGCACCCACTGGTATTCGGTGTCTGCCCCTCCGTCTGGGCTGCAGCTGTCCCTGCCGTGGTGCATGCTCGGTGGCTGTCCAGGAGTGTTGGGCTTCGGCTGGGGGTCCTGCCGCTGCACGTGGAGCAGCTGCTTTGCTTCCCAGTTACCCACCATCACTGGGGAGCTTTGAGATGGCGGGGGGTGGTGAGGGGGTGGTAATTTTATTTTCCGTGAGAACTCTTAAGCAGATGTGGTGTGTTTTGTTGGTTGGAGGTTGGGAGGGGTGGAAACCAGACCTGCGGGCCCACGGATCCCATGGGGTGGTGACAGGCACACCCCTGCAATGCCACCTGCTGCCCTGTGGTCCTGGTGGTTTTGTCCTTTATTTTCCCCTTTTTAAAATGATAAAAGCCGTCTCTCTGCGCACACACACACACACACTTTTGAAAAAACAACCCACCAGTAGTCCTACCACCCCGTGTAATATTTTTTCTCTTTCTTTTAATCTTGACGCAGACGCAGCCTTAGGGTTACATGGTTGTCATCTGACATGACAATGCTTTGTCATAGTTTTTTTTTTTAAAAAAAACTTACCGTTCTAAGTAATTTCCCAGGTTGCTATGTAGATTTTTCCTAAGTAGGATTTTAGGAGATTAAATGCATTGGGATAATGTTGGTTAGTAACTTTCTATAAACTGGAGGTGCATCACTTTAGGATGCAACAGCTGTATCTTGCATTGGGTGCTCACCGCCCGCGGTCTGGGCTCCTTCCGTCACCTCGTATGGGACCCCATTCACCCGCCCCCGCTCCCTCTCCCCCTGGACAGCCACCATCCTGTTGTCTGTGAGTTTGTTTGTCTGTCTGTCTGGTGCTTTTCGTTTTATGTGCCGCATGGAAGTGGAATCCTGTCATTCTTGTTTTTTCTCGTCTGCCTTCTTTCACTCCGCACGCTGCTCTCGTGGCCCATCCACGTTGTCACAAGCGGCAGTATTTCATCTTTCTTACGGCCCAGTCATGTTTTGTTGTGAGTACGCACCACACCCTCCTTGTCTGGTCTTCTGCGGAAGGACACGTAGCATAATTAGGATTTTTTTTTAAAGGTTATTTTTAGAGAGCGGGGAAGGGAGGGAGAAAGAGAGGAAGAGAAACGTCCATATGTGGTTGCCTCTCCAGCGCCCCCTACTGGGCACCTGGACCACAACCCAGGCATGTGCTCTGACTGGGAATCGAACTGGCAACCCTTTGGTTCACAGGCCAGCACTCAATCCACTGAGCCACACCAGCCAGGGCTCATAATTAGGATTCTTCTGACTGCATTATAGTCTCTCAGTCAATCACTCTCTATCCTTGGACATTGACACTGTGTGTGTGTCTTTTATGTTATTTTAATAGTGCTGTACACTTTTGCCTATAGCTTTGGGGAATTTTTGTTCTTAGGATAAGTTTCTGGCCGTGGGGCTTGCTGGACCCAAGGCTTTCCTACTTGTCTGGTTTCTAGACAGCTCCTGTACTGCTTTCGACCAGAGTCATGTCAGCCTGCCCCGGCTGGTGGCTCGGTTGGTTGGAGCATCATCCCATGATGCACTGAAAGGTCATGGGTTCATCCTTGAGCAGGGTGTGCACCAGAGGCAACTGATCAGTGTTTCTCTTGCACATTGATGTTTCTCTTCCTTTCCCTTCCTCTCTCTAAAAATCAATAAATGTATCCTGGGGTGAGGATTTAAAAAAAAAAAAAAAAGCAAGAAAAGAAGAAAAAAAATTGTGTCAATCTGTGTCCAGAAACGTTTTCAGTATAAACACGGTGTAAGAAGTGTGTGAGCAAGTAAGGCTCTGGGGCGCTGGGCCAGGTGCGGGATTTGCAGACCGAACAAGGAGGGCAGTGGGTTTTCTCCTCCTCCTGGGGGGTCCGAGCTTCCAGTGTCACCGTGTGTGTGTCAGCGACTTCCTACGGGAGGCCTGCTTCCTGGGGCTTGGAGCTGCCCCCGCTGCCGCAGCTCTGTGGCTCTGCTTTTCCAGATCATGGAAGAAACTGGTAGATTTTCGTTTCTTTTTTTCTTTTCTTTCTTTTCTTTTTCTCTTCTTTTCCCTTCCCCTTTTCTCTTGTCTTGTTTTCTTTTATTTTCCTTTTTTTTTTCCTCCTTTTCTTTTCTAGTTAAAATAAAATTCAGGACATCTCCAAAAATGGTTCCCTGGCCAATTCGATAACTATGCATTTCTGTAAGCATCCCCTGGCCTCTTGGGTTCAGTGGCCTAGTCACCAAGTCAGTAACAGTTTTAGGGTGAACACTGAGGAATTACGTGGATGCCGACTAGACTAGAAAAGCACCGAGGAGATGATACGATCTTCTGGAGTGTATTTATGAGACAGCACACATCCCGACAGTAGCAAATCATTTTGAAGCGGATTGGATTTTATGCAGCCGAAATCCAAAGTTGTACGAAGTTCATGATCACTAAGAATTGGTTAGCGGGACTTACAGCCAGGTCACGTATGGGAGTCAGAAGTTTTTGAAGGAAAGGAGGTGCTGAGTCACACGTGTTTTTAGGGGACCAGTGAGAGGCCAGTGTGCCTGACCCGGGGCGAGGCGGCCCCTCACAGGCGGGCAAGTGTGCTTCATCTGTGCCCTCTTTCTGGCCGTGCAGCCCGCCGGGAATGCGTAGGCATGGAGGTCCGGGGCCTGCCAGGCTTGCCACGACATAGAAACTCCCCCCCCACTCCTCTCCCTACACCCCTCGCATTTTGGGAACCTGCTGGGGTGAAACACACGTGTGCGACCTCCCGCAGTACAGGGCATTGTGGGTGGGTGTGCTGCCCGGCAGAGTCTGGTGGGAGCCCGGTGATCAGTTTCTGTTCTCTGTTTCTGTTCTAGCCCTTGCCAGCGTCCAGCCATGGGGGACATGAAAACTCCAGATTTCGATGACCTTCTGGCTGCCTTCGACATCCCAGACCCCACCAGCCTGGATGCCAAGGAGGCCATCCAGACCCCCAGCGAGGAGAATGAGAACCCCCTCAAAGCCCCGGGCATGTGTATGGAAGAGAGCGTGTCCTTGTCTCACTCGGGGTCAGCCTCCGACGTGCCGGCCGTGAGTGTCATTGTCAAGAACACCAGCCGCCAGGAGTCGTTTGAAGCCGAGAAAGACCACATCGCTCCCAGCCTCCTGCACAACGGGTTCCGGGGCTCGGACCTGCCTCCAGAAGCCCATGGCTTGGGCCACCACTGCGGGAAGTTTGATTCCGCTTTCATGAATGGAGACAGTGCCAGGAGTTTCCCGGGCAAGCTGGAGCCTTCCAAGTCGGAGCCGCTGCCCACCTTTAACCAGTTCAGCCCCATCTCCAGCCCGGAGCCGGAGGATGGCATCAAAGACAACGGCTTTGGGCTGAAGTCCAAGCACTCGGACAGCTACTTCCCGCCCCCGCCTGGTTGCGGGCCTGTCTCGGGCCCAGTGCTGGAGGCTCTGGGTAAGTTTTCCGTTCCAGAGCTGCACATGTTCGACCACTTCTGTAAGAAAGAGCCCAAGCCAGAGCCCCTGCCCCTGGGCAGTCAGCAGGAGCAGGAGCGACGGGCGCAGCAGGCTGGGGAGACTCCCAAGGAGCTGGACGCCAGCCGCTTCTTTGGGGAGGCTTTGGAGTTCAACAGCCACCCCGGCAACAGTATCGCAGAGCCCAAGGGGCTCGCGGCCGAGCCGGGAGCCTGCTCCTCCGTCCCCCCGAGGCAGCGCCTGAAGCCCGCGCATTCCAAGCTGTCCTCTTGTGTCGCGGCCCTGGTGGCCCTGCAGGCCAAACGCGTCGCCGGCGTCACCAGGGAGGATCAGCCTGGCCACACCAAGGACCCCTCAGGGCCCACGAAAGAGGGCTCCAAGGGCAGCCCCAAAATGCCCAAGTCACCAAAGAGTCCGCGCAGCCCCCTGGAGGCCGCGCGGAAAAGCACCAAGCCCTCCGACAGCCCCCGGAGCATCTGCAGCGACAGCAGCAGCAAGGGCTCCCCTTCCGTGGCTGCCAGCTCCCCCCCAGCGATCCCCAAAGTCAGAATCAAAACCATCAAGACGTCCTCCGGGCAGATCAAACGGACTGTCACAAGGATCCTGCCGGACCCCGACGATCCCAGTAAGTCACCCGTGGGGTCCCCTCTGGGCAGCGGTGCTGCGGAGGCCCCCAGCGAGGCGCCCGAGGACGAGGTCAGCGCCCTGCCTGCAGCGGAGCACTTTCCGGAGGGGGCCCAGCGCGCAGGGAGCCCCCAGGGTGACGCGAAAGGGGCCGAGAGCGCGCCCAAAGCCAGCGAGCCTGTGTCTCCCAGCGGCAGCTCTGGGTCCCGGGTCCCCAAGGCCGCGGCCCCTGGCTCGCAGGCGGGCAAGAAGCCGCAGCAGAGCGCCGGGCTGCAGGCGTCCGCGCCGGCCTCTGCCAACCTGCTGCCCAAAGCCGTGCACCTGGCCAACCTGAACCTGGTCCCCCACAGCGTGGCCGCCTCCGTCACGGCCAAGTCCTCCGCGCAGAGGCGGAGCCAGCCACAGCCCACGCAGATGTCCGTGCCCCTGGTGCACCAGGTGAAAAAGGCCGCCCCGCTGGTCGTGGAGGCCTTCAACAAGGTCCTCCACAGCTCCAACCCTGTGCCCCTGTACGCGCCAAATCTCAGCCCGCCCGCCGACAGCAGGATCCACGTGCCCGCCAGCGGGTACTGCTGCCTGGAGTGCGGGGACGCGTTTGCCTTAGAGAAGAGCCTGAGCCAGCACTACGGCCGTCGCAGCGTCCATATCGAGGTGCTGTGCACACTCTGCTCGCAGACGCTGCTCTTCTTCAACAAGTGCAGCCTGCTGCGGCACGCCCGCGACCACAAGAGCAAGGGGCTCGTCATGCAGTGCTCGCAGCTGCTGGTGAAGCCCATCTCCGCGGACCAAATGTTCGCCGCCGCCCCCGTGAACTCCTCCGCCCCCGCGGCGGCCCCGGCCCCGACCCCCGCGCCGGCTCCCCCGCCCGCCCCCAAACACGGCCCCACCGTGCCAGCTCTGCCGCTCTACCCGGACCCCGTGAGGCTCATCCGGCACGGGGTCAAGTGTCTTGAATGTCACAAGCAGATACGCGACCACACGGTCATGGCTGCGCATTTCCAGAGGATGTCAGAGGAAACCGAGGGGCTGGTAAGTGATCCTTCCTGCGTGACGGGCGCCTGGTGCTGGTTCACCGGGGCTCCGCGTGGGGCAGGGACTGAAAAGGTCATCGGTGGGGCCCATGGAGGCACTGCTGGTGTCTTAGGAGAGGCTGTCCAGCTTGATGCTTAGCGACCTGCTGCAGTACGTGCCGTGGCCGGTGTTTACTGGGAAAAGCGTCCTGCCCGCACTGAGGGGAGCCCGTGAAGACTTAGTGGGTGTCTATGGACATGCTCCATCGTCCACTGTGCTGTTGGGGCCCCTTGGCAGGCCTGGGCTGGGTTCCAACTGGCTGGTGCAGTCCTCACAGGCGCAGGAGGACTCGGGGCAGAGACCATATGGCACCGCCCTGTGCCTCGGAGGGTCCTGAGGACCTGCCATGGCTGCGCTCTGCTCCGCCCACCGTGGACAGGGGTCAGGGCGTGGAGTCCCCCTGGGGAAGCTGCTGCAGGCACGGAGTCAGGGCCCGAGGGCCTCTTCCCTGCTCCTCCCTGTTCTTGCCCCTCTAGCAAAGCAGCTGCTCATCTGCTTCCGGTTCTTGGTTATGTTTGATGAGGCCTGGCTGTATTTAAAGGAGAAAACGCATCCGTGCAGAAAATACCTTTTGGCACCCTCCGTGCCAGTGGCTGTCTGTGTTGGCAGGGTCTTGTGACAAATCGGGGCTCCAGACAGGCTTCCAGAAGGTTCTTTTCCTCCTCCACCTCCGCGTGGGAGAAGTCTCTTCATGACCCCGCTGGGCCCTCCCCCAGCCAGGGCCACAGGGCCTGGGCCCACAGCGCAGTGCGGGAGGGCCTTTCCTTCAGTTGTGGGGTGGGCGGGGGACTGCACACTGGCTGGTGTGGGTGCGATGAGCCGTGCGCTTGTTGCAGGAGCCCACAGCGTGCGTGGGGCCCTGTGCTGAGTCCTGGGTGCCTGCAGGAGGGAGTCTCCTGGTTCCGGCTGCTGGAGCAGGGCTCACCCCGCCCACACAGCCACCATCGGTGCAGACCCAGTGTTGGGTTTCAACCGCATGTTGACGTAGTTGCAGAGGGTGCCTCAGAGGGACTAATTCATCGTGATGACACAGGTGACATTGGAGCATGGCCGAGGGGGTCGGCAGGGTGTTCGGGCAGAGGAACCACCGCGTGTGAAGGGGCGGGGCCCGCCTTGGAGAGTTGGGGTGGAGTGGGAGGAATCGGGGGACTGTGGGGCTTCTGCGGCTCCAGAAGCGGCTAGCAAGGTGCCACGGGGTCGCTGCTGCCTCTTGTGGTGGCCTCTGTCTCTGTACTTTCCTTCCAATGAGTCCTGTGCGGTGTGGCCACTCCAGGCCTTTCCTCTGGGGCCTCACGTAACAGCGTGGTTGACTTGACCCCCCCGATGGCTGCGTCCGAGTCATGTGCTCAGAACCATAGCCCGTGGAGGCCTGATGCCTGGGCCTCGGGGGTTTGCACCCTTCCCATCCCACACGTCCCCTGCGTCATTCTCCTCTGGAGGGGGCTGGATAGCAGGTGCCCCCCCGCCCCCCACGACGGGAAGGGAGGGAGTACCTAGGAGCACTGTCTGGCTTCTCTCAGCCTCGTCCCAATCCCTCAAAATCTGCTGCCCAGAAAAGTGGCCTTTGAGTCTCAGAGAAAGGGCAAGGCTGGAGCTCAGGGATCAGAACCTCCTGGATGGCTGTTGGGCTTGGGTCTCCCTACAATGGCTCCCTGGCTTCAAGTCACTCCCAGGGCAGGGGGCGGGCGGGTGGCGTGGGCCTTTGCTCCAGGGCAGGGACTGCAGGACCATGCGTTCGGGCCGTCAGCTTTCTCCCTGGGAGCCCCCAGACTGGACGGGCCCAGCTGGACCAGACCGGTCTCTTCCTGCGCAGTGGCTGGAGGGGTCAGTCCTTCCCCTGACCCTGTGGGGCGGGATGCCAGCACAGAGAGGCTGTTTCTCCCTGTTCTGAATATTATCCTCACACCTCACACACTTAGTAACAGTTCCTTACTACGTCCTAATACAAGCCCTTACTCAAGTTTTCCCGTTCACATCAAAATTGTCTTTGAATCAAGATCCAGACTCGGACCACACTTGACGCTGGTTCGTCGAATCTTCTAAACTTCTCTGCAGCGGCCCCTCGCCCTCTGCCCAGCCCCACCCACTCGGACCCTCCTTTGGTTTGTTGAGGGCACTGGGTCCTGTGGCCTGAGGACTTTGCAGGGCACTTCTGTGTTTGACTGACTGCTTCCTGAGAACTCCGCAGGGTCGTTTACCCGATTGCTTCCACATGCAATTCGCTTGTTCTTTTAGAATGTCACATTTCCGCTGCGGACTGGAAAGGAGCAATAAAGGCTCGATCAGCTTCCGGTTCAGTATGCGGGGGGCGGAGGGGGGGCAGTCCTGTGTTCTCGGCATTTCGTGACTTCAGGGAGGTGCCCAGCGCTTGGTGGCCTCGGTTTTAACGATGGCAGCCTTCTGTGGTGGCTTTCCGATCCCTTCATTGAGAAGTCCTTTTACCCGGTGATTTTAACATCCATTCATAATGGCTGCCCAGGTAGTAACATTGAGTCACAGAAGGTGTTTCTCTAATTTTATTATTTCCTTTTGTTTATTAGCTGGGATTCTTTATAACTTATCTGTCCCTCCTCCCTGAGGACTGTTTGGTTACCCTGAAATACAGTTCGTGTTGGAAAATGGGGTAGATATATAATTCGTTCCCCTTGGCGACCAGTTTTCCAGTGGCGGCACCGATTTACAGTCCCACCAACAGGGGACAGGAGCTTCGGTTTTGCCTCATCTGTACCAACGTTATTTTGTTGTTTTTTTTTAAGAGTAGCCATCCTGGCGGGTGTCAGGTGACCCCCCTCTGTTATTTTTAGTGTTAGTGTTGTGATGAACTCATTCATTTTTATGCATTCCGAATGTTTCTGTATTCGGTCCTTCTTTTCGATGCTCAAGTCATCCCATCGTTGGTCGTGGGGACCCCCTTCAGGCCGGCTCCTTTCGACACGAACACGTTAAGCCTTGAGACGCTTCCTTCCTTTCAGCCCCGACAAGATGCCCTGGGTACATTTCTTGGGCTAAACCCAGAATCGTCCATGTTCCCAAGGACCCAGGTTTCGTTCCGTGAGGAATGCTATTTAGAGACCACGTTCCACACACCGGAGTTGCTCGGTGCTGCTGGGTACACTAACTTTGTTTTGGTTTTTTTTTTTCAGTGGCCAGAGCTAAGAAATGCACATTTTTAAAAAGAGGAAAGGAAGGTCATGCATTTATACTGGTGTCCAAAGGTTAGGATTATAGAGTTTTTATGGAACTGACTTTATACTGAAAGTCTTGGTTCCTACGATTTTCCTACCACACACACACACACACACACACACACACACACACACAAAGTACCAGAGGCGGTGTTACCTGTAACATTCGGGCAGCGGCAGAAAGGTGAGGGCGCACCTCTCCTCGCCCTGACACTGCCTCACACTGCGGATGCGTAGGTCAAACTGGTGTGTTTGAACCGCCGGGGGGGGGGGGGGGGGGAATTCTTTGTTTCTTAATGGTTGATACATAGTTACTCAATGTGCAGTTAGGGTGCTTTTTTCTGTTTTTCAATTCCTAGGGAATGCTTTTGTTTATTTCACGTCATATCTTTTATTTTTATTTATTTTTTAAACACAAAGGAACTTTTTAAAAAATTTTTAAATTTATTTATCTTTAGAAGGGAAGGGAAGGAAAGAGGGAGAGAAACATCAGTGTGTGGTTGCCTCTCATGCGCCCCCTGCTGGGAACTGGCCTGCAACCCAAGCATGTGCCCTGACTGGGAATTGAACCGTGGTCTTTTGGTTCACAGGCCCGTGCTCAATCCACTGAGCTACACCAGCCAGGGCTCACGTCATATCTTTTAAAAATCACTTAAAACAGGTGATGTCCGAGGTAAAACCACAGAACGGGGTGTGTCTGGGGAAGCTCTGCCCCCGACCCCCGTCCTTTCAGCCCGTTGGCTCCTTCTGCAGAGGCTGCCATTTTTTATTCACTTTCGGTTTATCGCCGCCCTGCTCCTTTCTTTGCGAATAAAAGTGAATGCGTGTGTGTGTGTGTGTGTGTGTGTGTGTGTGTGTGTGATAGTCTCCTCTTTCCTGCACGAAAGAGCGTACTCATTTACTGTTCTGCAGCTACGGTAATACTTAAAAAAAGTGGTTATTGTGGAAATGTCTGAAACACCACATAAAAGCGGGGAGAACGGCCTGGTGAACTCTCTTGTCTCCGTCACCGGCTCACGGCCCATCTCGTCCCCTGTGTTGCCCACCCTCCTCCTCCAATGGACAGTTTCCAGACAAACCTCAGTGTCATGGCATCTGTGAGTGTTTCAGGATATGTCTCTGAAAGAGAAGCATTTCCCCCTGAAACAGAGGCCTAATACCATTGCATCTCAAAGTTAACAATTGCTCATGACCAGATCTTAATATCAGGTGTCAAATGTCCTGATACTATTAAGTCAGGGTTTTTTTTTATGATATAGTTACTTTTTTTCCTTCACTTTTATTTTGTATCAGTTTCAGGTGTACAGCTTAGTGATTAGACAATCATATACTTTACATAGTTTTCCAAGTGAGTGGTAGATAATAATAATAATAATAATAATAATAATAATAATAATAATAAAAACTTAGTGTCTCATTCCTTTTTTACACTTGGCTTTCTTGAATCGGAATCCAAATAATTATTTGAATTCTGATTATTGAAAATTTCTCTTTAATCTCTTTCAATCTATAAGTTCCTCTTCCCTCTCTGTCTCTTTTTCCTTTGTAATTTGTAGAAAGAACTGGGTGTGTCCTGTCCGGGCCCCATGTCCTGGACTTGGCTGATTAAGGCACAGACTCTTTCCGGTCCTCCCCTCCCCCGACAGCTGGTCCCTCCGCACAGCTGCTCCGACCCCTGCCAGGGCCCCTCCGTGCACCGCTGTGAGCAGCACAGTCCCCTCCTCTTTACTGAGAAGGGCCCTCCAGGTGCGGGCGCCCGCTCAGCCGCCCGTGGCCTCCCGCTCTGGCCGCCAGGACCCTGCCCATTGGAGCTTCCGGGGGTCTGGCTGGAGGACTTGTGTTCCCTGGGTTCCACCCCCTACCCACCCAGAGCTCGCAGGCAGGGCTGAGGGCATGGAAACTGTCGTCCATCAGTCCTCACTTGGGGCTTCTGCAGCCCGTCAGTCCAGGGAGGCTCAGGTCCCCCCAGAGGTCACTGACCCATCCGACGGGCGGTGTTGAGTGGAAGGGGCCACCTCTGTCCTGGTGAGTCTGGCAGTGAAGTAAGATCTTAGTTTCAAGAAGTGCCTTAGGCCTCTGGAGAACAAAAGCCCAAAGAAGCACTCAGAGCCCGGGAGCAGATTAATCTTTGGGAAAACTGGGTTGGGTCTATCTCCAATTAAGAAGGTGAGGGATAAAGCCTGCGTGGTAAGGTCTGGGGCGTCCCCGTGCCCTGAGAGACTTGGAAGAGAGCATGGCCGTGGGGGTGGCTCCTCCTGACCCACGTCCCGGGAAGGCCAGCCGCCTGCGACGCCCGCAGAGCCACTGCCCGCGGCGCCTGGCTCAGCTGCTCGCTCGCCGCTCTTTCCTAGACCTGCCCTGTGTGCCAGATGCTGCTGCCCAACCAGTGCAGTTTCTGCGCGCACCAGCGGATCCACACGCACAAGTCCCCTTACTGCTGCCCGGAGTGCGGGGCCCTCTGCCGCTCGGCCTACTTCCAGACCCACGTGAAGGAGAACTGCCTGCACTACGCCCGCAAGGTGGGCTACAGGTGGGTGCCGCGCGGCCTGGCCCTCCCAGGGGCCGCTCCCTCTCCCGGGCCAGCACTCGTTTGGACCTGAGCATGGTCCCCAGGGTCCTGGGCCCTACCCACTAAGGCCAAGCCTGTGGGTGGGTATGTGGGCAGACATGTTTATTTTCTAGAGAGCCAGAACAGCAAGAGGGAGAAGAATAAGGAGTTAAAAAAAAAAAAAAAATTAGCAAAAAGAGCTTGGAAGGGGGAGGATTTGGGGAGATGAGAGCATCGGGAACATTTGCTGTGTCAGCTTGGCTTTTAAAAATACATTTAACTTGCTCACAAACTTTCTGCGTTTGGCGTATCAAATTTGAAGTACTATTGCAGTAATAAAGTTACAGATTGCAGCACTTTGAAACGTTCTCCACTTTCATCAACCAATGGAGCTGCAAGACTCCAAACTCAAAGGGCTCTGGTGTCTTTGTGTTGATTAGTTTCTGCCCGTCTGTGAGAAGCAAGCAAAACCCGAGAATGGAAAAAATGATCAGCCTAGTAGTAAAAACAAGAAAAGTTTGTTGTAGATGGGATCTTCTCCACTGTGTGAAGTGGACAGAAGCAAGAAGTCATTTTGGGGAGAAAAAGATCAAAACGGTGGGGGGGAGCTCCCTCCAAAGCTCATGGGTCCCTGCCTCTCCCATCGGCCCAGCCAGGCCTCCTGGACCGATTGCTGCATTTGGGAGTTTCTGCGTCTTCTCGTGGTTTGCTTTCACTTTTGAAACTTAATTTTTCCCAAATTTAGTAAGGTTTTCTTCTCTTTGGTATTTAAAGAAATTTATTGATGTAGGTCACTGCCAGACACCAAAGATATAAAAATGATTAAGACACAGCCCCGGTGCCCAAGGAGGCTGTGGTGCAGTAGCTTATAGACACGTGGACAGTAAGGGCGACTCTGAGGGGCAAGTCCCCTAGTGGAGGGACGGCCAGGAAAGCTTCTTGGAGGAGAGAGTAGGAGGTTCGGGCAGGAGAAAGGGAGAGAAGATACCTGGCGTGGATACAGGCGGGACACCAGCCCGCACAGAGGGGGTTCTGGGAAGATGAGCGTTTCCGTAGAGGTGGGTCAAGTGCACTGGGGCAGCGGCAAGAAACGAGACTGGGAGCTGGTGGAGGCTGGGCTCTGCCCGACCTTGTATTCCCTGGTAGATGTTTGGCCTCCATCCTGTGGACACGGAGAAGCTGCAGAAAGATTTGCAGCGGGGCCGGGGTGGGGTGGGGGGGTGTGATTCAGTGAGACCGTCTCTGGGAAGCTGACACCATGTGTTCAGGAGCGAGGAGGCTGGCTGAGAGGCAGGTGTGGCGACCAGGCGAGACACTGAGGGCTTCTTTCCGGGTGCAGTCTAGGGGTGGAGGTGAAGGGGCAGTGGAGAGAGATTCGGGAAGTGCAAGCAAGCATCAGGGCTCCAGGGCAGCTCACAGACGGGGGGGTGAGGATGGATGCGGACTCTCAGGTTTCTGTCCTGTCACAAACATTTCCAAATGCAGACCGATCTCTTGGCATGTCATGGAGGACAGAGAATCTAAAGGGCCTGAGAAGCAAACCAGCCCGTGGTGGGGTTGTATGAAGCCCTTGCCACCATGTTGTGGAAGGGCCGGCATTGGCAGCCTTTTGGGTTACATTTCTAAAGCAAACACCTGATGAGTGTTTCTGCAGTACCCCGGAACGTTGAGAACCGCCTTTCTGACTTCGCCTTCCATGTGTGCTGCGTCTGCCAAGACCCACTCCAACCCACTAAACCATGCAAGGCAACACTTCGACTTTTATCTTTGAATCTCGAACCCAAGAAATTCCCAATGTCACAGGTGGATCAACAGATTTTTTTTTGCCTTCTAATTATTTTATCTGACTTTCTTCTATAAGTAAAGATAAACAGTCTCAAAAGCAATTTGGTTCTTCAAGCCTCTTCATAAGGCATTTCAACCAAAAATGGATTGCGATTCAGCCATAAAGAGGCGTTCCTGAACATAATGGACATTCAGGTCTTCAATTGATTGTGGGGTTCCCAAAACACACACACTGATACACTGCTCGTTACAGTTAAGATCTACTACTGTGAACATACTGTTCTGGTAACAGCTTTACGCAGATATAATTTACCTGCCACACCATCCACCCATTTAAAGAACGCAATCCACTGGTTTTCGGTACAATCTGGGCCGTGCCTTCACCACAAGTGGTTTTACAACAGTACTTTGTTTTATATTATTTTTGCTTTTTCTGGAAGACAATGTATAAAGCCTGTACATTGCATATGTGTCTTATGTTTGTGTCTTATGCAAAATGTATATATACACCGTACATATATACTTAGGATTGCATAAATTACTCTGCTCTTTGTCAATACTGTGGAGCATGGCCAACGATGTCATAAGGGAACAAGCGTAGACTGTTCTAAATAATGTTATTTTTTTAATTGTTTGGGACTATTAGCAACATAATTTTTTTTTTTTTACTGTTCTTTATCTTTACTAAACCCACGTATTTCACAGCACATGGTGCTGTCACCATCTGCCTTCGCTTTGAAGACACGGGTGCAGACATGGCCGGGTTTCTCTTCTGTGCAGTTCTAAACCTGGCTGGATTCCGTCCTCTACCGAGGTGGCTCAGTGTGTGTTCTCTGACCCCCTCACATTCTTACCCTCAGTGTGGTTTCCTCAAAGAGTGTGTCAACTAGGGAACTACGATGTATTTTCAGTTGCATTTCTGAAGAGGGTGTTTACATTGTTCCTACAGAAGTTTGGTCATACTGCACGAATAAGGCCACCTAAAGGACTCATCACACATACCAGGTGCATGCATTTGGAAAAAAATATGTGGATTCTTTTTTTCTCCTACTAATACCTCGCGATGTGGAAGGTGCTCTGCTCTGTGTGCCAGAAGTCGGCCACTGCTTTGTTTAACGGGAGAGAAAATTTAATTAAGTCAGTAGTTTGCACAGACTCTGGACAGCACGCACAGACTCAGTAACGACTGCTCCTCCGAGGTCATGGCAAACCAGCTCCCTGGTTCCGGGGGCTGCTCCTCATGGCTCGTGAGTCTGCAAAGGTGAGTACGTAAGCCTCGGCGTCTCCCGCAAACGCAGACACACAAAAGGAGGAAAAACAAGAACATCGGCCGGGATTCTGGGATGGTTTATGTGGATTGCGAAAATGGGCCATGGCACGACTTGAAGGGAAGTATGTGGAGTCCAGGGGTTCTTCCGGGAAGGCGTGTCCTTCCTTTCCTGCAGCCGCAGCCTGGCCGCTGCCCAGGTCACAGGGGCTGCCGGTGTCACAGGCAGCATCACGGCAACGGGAAGAGCAGAGCCGTTTTCTCCGGGCAGGAGACCTGAGTGTGTCTTCGAGCAGGAGGAAGGACGGAAGCGGAGTGGACGCAGGTCACGTACTGCAGAAAGGAAAGGCCGCTCGTGTAGAGGGAGATTGGAAGTCGGAAGGAGGAGTCTACCGTGGTCTCCACCGCAGAAACGTGGTTTCAGACTGTTTATGCATCATAAAAAACGGGGTGAATAGGCCTGGATGGGGGAGAGACAGAAACAGCCAGTGGCCCCTGGTCCCCCCGAGGAGGCGTCACCACGCGTAGGAGCCGCGTGGCGCAGAGTGGCCCCGGCCCCAGGCGTGTACCGAGCGCTTGCGGTGTGGCCGGCCACTTCATGTCATCCATTTGAACGAGGACAGCGACGTGGACAGTGCCGGGAAAGGTTTCCACCTCACAGCAGATGCCGCCGGACGGTGCTGCTCCGGAGTCTGTCCCTGGGCCCCGGGCCACTTGTTTCCGTGTGGCCATTCCGGGGAGCACAGCTGTTCTCACCCGAATGCCGGCCCCGGGGAGGGCGCAGCTCCGCACAGCCCTCTGACGTTCCCGTGCACTCCTGCGGTGGTGCCGCGTGAAACGGGGGCTGCGTGTGTCGTTTGGGGCCCCTTTTGTCCGTCTCCACCCCACCGACTTCTCTCAGCTGCCCTGGAGTTTTGGGTTGGCAGGAGAATATCCTCTGGCCTGGGAAGGGAGGGAGGGTTTCTCCCCCCTTTCCCACCAGGCGTAGCCTCGACCACATTGAGCCAGGCGTCTGCAGGCAGGCCCGCAGGACTGAAGTTCCGAGAGATGATGCCTCAGTTCCTGCCCTCCGTCCCTCCTTTTCCAGGCCCACCTCTGGGTCTGACCTCCACCCCCCGCCCCCACCTCTGTCGTTCAGGTGCATCCACTGCGGGGTCGTCCACCTGACCTTGGCCTTGCTGAAAAGCCACATCCAGGAGAAACACTGCCAGGTTTTCCACAAATGTGCTTTCTGCCCCATGGCCTTCAAGACTGCCAGCAGCACCGCGGACCACAGCACCACCCAGCACCCTGCCCAGCCCCCGAAACCCTCCCAGTGAGTGCGTCTTCATGGCCCCTGGGGCAGAGCCCAGCGTCCTGGGTGCTACAGGGGCAGGTGTGGGGACAAAACGGGGGCCGGGCTAGCGGCAGATGTGTCTGGAGTCCCCCGAAGACTTCCCGGGGCTGGGGAGGGTCCGCACTGGTTCAGAGAGCGCAGAGACAGGGCCGAGGGCCGTGCGGTCCTGCCACGGAGCCCTGGCCGCCTCACGCCCTCGGCTTGTCTCACAGGCTCATGTACAAGTGCTCCTGTGAGATGGTCTTCCACAAGAAGAGGCAGATCCAGCAGCATTTCTACCAGGACGCCAGCAAGGCGCAGGTGGGCGTCTTCAAGTGCCCCGAGTGCCCGCTCCTGTTCCTGCAGAAGCCCGAGCTGATGCAGCACGTCAAGGTGAGCGGCCCAGTGGGGGAGGAGGCCGGGAGGCCGGCGGGCGCACCCCGGAGCGGGGGGTCTGACTCTCTTGCCTCTTTCCCCTCGCCCAGTCAGTAACCGCTCTCCCCATCCCCAGAGCGTGCACGGCGTCCCCCGCAACGTGGAGGAGCTGTCCAGCCTCCAGGCCTCCGCCGACTCGGCCTCCAGCCGTCCCGCCTCCCGGGTTTCCGCTGAGCCCCCGCTGACCAGCGTGGCTGCTCGAGGCAGCTCCCTGCCGTCGGGCCGCTGGGGCCGGTCCGAGGCCCATCGCAGGGCAGAGGGCAAGCCCCGGCTGAGGAGCACGGGCTGGACCTGCCAGGAGTGCCAGGAGTGGGTTCCCGACCGGGAGAGCTACGTGTCCCACATGAAGAAGAGCCACGGTCGGGTAGGCGCCTCCGTGGGCTCGGCCCCCTTCTGCGGCTGACCCCCCGCGGGTTGGTTCCTGCTCTGGGCAGGGCGGGTGCCGCAGGTTTTGAGTCCTGCATGGCATCCTCCTTCCTGCCTGAGAAGGAAGGTGCCCGTGGAACCGTCTCGCAGTGCTGATGCCTGGCTTTCTGTGGCCACCTGCAGACGCTGAAGCGGTACCCGTGTCGGCAGTGTGAGCAGTCCTTCCACACGCCCAGCAGCCTGCGCAAACACATCCGCAACAACCACGACACCGTCAAGAAAGTCTACACGTGTGGGTGAGTCTCTGGAGCCGGGAAAGCCAGGAGGCCCGGCTTTCTCCAAAACTCTGTCCGCGGCAGGTCAAGGGGCTTCTCTCTGCTCTGAGATCAGGGGCCAAAGGCAAGAGACGAGTGCGTTTCTAAATGGAAAATGCTGTGCCGAGGTCAGAAATTGGGGCAGGTCAGAAACCAGCTTCTAGAACCTGGGGGCTCCGTCCCCCTCCCCATCTCCCCAACCCCGGGCTGCACTGCCCGTCAGTGGCGAAGGGCCCTGGGGTTCACGAGGGGTGGTGGTGTGACCGTGAGCCCCGCGCAACCGCCTGTCTATGCTTCGCGCACACGAGGCCTCTCGTGCTGAGCCCCTGCCCAGCGCTTGGGCCTCTGGGCAGGGAGAGTAAGCTCATGACCGGGCCCCTGTGCCAGTGCTCTGACTCGCTGTTGTCGGCTGGGTTGCCGGCTTGCTGGCTGGGCTTCTCTGGGGAGGACCCAGCACCCCCAGCCAGCCCGAGGACTACCCTGCCCCCTCTGCCTCCTGCTCGGCCCGCTGAGGCCTGTCCTCTTACATGATGGCTTCGGCTGTTCCCTTGCAGGTATTGCACAGAGGATAGCCCCAGCTTTCCTCGGCCCTCCCTCTTGGAGAGCCACATCAGCCTTATGCATGGTATCAGAAACCCTGACTTGAGCCAGACGTCCAACACCAGACCTCCGGGCGGGCATCCCCCTCAGGTGAGTGTGGGGCTCCTGCCCACGTTCGGTGGAGCGGGAGGGGCGCCCGTTTGTCATTGTGGCCGTGCTGCAACCAGCAGCGACAACGTCTCTCGGTATGGGCGGGCGCAGTGGGACCCCCATGGGACAGCACACAAGTGAAAGATGGGCCAAGGCCCGTGAGGCAGCCTCTCCTCCCTGCTGTTTCCCTGTCACTGTGAGCCCTTCATTAGGGGTGGGTCGCACTCAGTGACATGGGAGAGATTCCACACGTGCATGCCTGCTTCTGCCTCAGTCCTGGCAGCGGGCGAGGAGGGCTGGCCGTCAGGTGACCCCCACCACTAGCTGTGGGAGGAGCCGCAGTTGGACCCCTGCTCTCCTGAACCCTGGTCTCACGCCCTCATCCTTGCACCGTGCCCATTCCTGTGTCTGGGGAACTTCGGGAGCTGCCTGGCCTCCCTCCTCACTGTAGCTCCTTCTGCCCCCGACCCCCCATGCCAGGGGCCACTCCTCAGGGGGCCCTGGCATGTCTGGAAGCCCCCCGGAGTTTCAGGATGTTCTCTCCGGGCTGTTTGGAGAAGGTGTCTCCCTGGTCGGCACAGGCCCTCTCACTCCCGGCGGGTGGGGTGTCCTTGGCATTTTGGCAACATCTGTCTGTGATGAAAATGCACCCCCTCCTCTTCCCTCCCAAAGCTCACACCCTTTGATGCAGCAAGACTCAGCTTCTTGGCTTTATCTGTCAGATACCTTTGGCCTCGGGCACAAAGAAGTGTGTTAAGGGTGTTCATCGCAGCACTGTGTGTGTGCCAAAGACGGAACCCAACTAAGCGTCCACCAGCGGGGACCGTTCACCCCTACAGTGGGTTCCTGTGCCTCTGTTAGGGAGGTGGGGCCTCTGGCTAAGCCTCACGGAGACCAGACCAGTCCTGGTCATGTCGTGCCATGAGAGGGGAAGGACAGAGAAAATCGCACGTTACCCTTTTGTAAAAGGCGGCAGCTTCGTTTCCGTGCCCGTGTAGACTGTCTCCGGGAGGAGCCCCAGGGCCCCGGTGACGCGGCGTTCTCTGGGGGCCAGGCATGATGGGGCTGGAGGGACGTGGTCTCCACGTTCGTTCTGTATCTTTGGAATGTTGTGCCACAAGCGTACGTGACATTAAAACAAAACAAAAAACGAAGCCCAAACAAGCCCAAGCTAGACCAGTGGTCAGGGCTGAGGTGACCCTGGCCTGTGTGGTGAATCCGCGAGGCCTTGGGCGGCGCTGGTTGTGTCTGGGGGCTCCTGTCCCGGGCTCGGCTGGGCCGGGACTCGGCTCACGCTGTGTCCCCTTCAGGTGAACCATCTGAAGAGGCGGGTCGGCGGGGCAGCGGATGCCCCGGGCACCAGCAACGGCGTGACCGGCTCCTCCATCAAGAGGCACAAGTCCGTTTTCCAGTGTGCGAAATGCAGCTTCGCCACAGACTCGGGGCTCGAGTTTCAGAGCCACATACCTCAGCACCAGACGGACAGCTCCACAGCCCAGTGTCCGCTCTGCGGCCTGTGCTACACCTCCGCCAGCTCCCTCGGCCGCCACCTCTTCATCGTCCACAAGGTGAGAGAGCAGGAGGACGAAGAGGAGGCGATGGAGGGGGCGGAGCCGGAGGAGGGCTCCGGGGAGGAGGCGTCCATGGACACCAGGGAGAACGGACTGGAAGAATGTACCGGCGAGCCTTTGTCGGGCGACCCGGAGGCCAGAAGATCGCCGGGCCCGGCCCCTGAGGAGGACGGTGCCCAGGAGGCTCAGAGTCAACCGCAGGCCTCTCGGGACCAGGACAGCCGTGTACCGTCCCCTCAGGCGTGACCGGAGGCTGGGCGAGCGTGCGGTCGGGTGCGCCGTGGTGTGCTGCCCCAGCCGGCCACGTGCACGGGGGAGAGCCAGCCGCTCTGCCCGTGTGCGTGCGGCGGAGAGGCGGGGCCCCGCGGCCATGTCCACCCGGCCCCAGGCGGTGTGGGTCGCCCAGGACGTTCAGATCTGAATTTACGTGTTATTTATGGCTTTGTGCTGCTTCTCAGTGCCCTGACTCTCGTCCGTGCCCTTCTAGCCCCGGCGCTGCCCGCTCCTCTCGAAACCGCTCAGCGGCCGCGCTCTCCTGGGAGGCTCCCCGCCCGCTGCCTTCAGCCGGGGCCTGCGAGCTGCCTGGGAGGTCAGGGCCTGAGAAGGGGGGTGCGGGGGGCGGGTGCGCTCCCTCTCCGAGTGCTCTGCCCAGCATGGCCACGGCCGCCTTGCCCTTCCTTCCTGTTTTCTCTGTTTTTCCCCCCGAACGACAGTCCCGGAGGGTGGGTCGTCACTCTGGCCCATCCTGCCCGTGTGGGGGGAGCTTCGGCAGCACATCCCTGCGTGGGGCCCAGGGGAGCAGGAATGTGCCCCGGCCAGCAGGCAGGCGGCCAGAGCGGCCCATCGGCAGGAGCGTGTGTCCGTCCTGCCGCCGCCCTGCCTTTCCCGAGGAGCCGGGCGTGGGGCGCGCAGACACTGCCGTGTCTGTGCTCTTCCCCCCGAGCTGTCGGAGAGGCTGCCGCCCCGGGCAGGCCGGCCCGTCCTCCGGTTCCTCTCAGTGTTGCTCAGACGATATTTCCAATAAAAAGTTCTTCTTACCATGCAGGTGGGCTCTTGTATTCCTCTTCAGGGGAGCCTGGCCCCACCCTGCTCCACCCAGGGGCCTTTCCCAGACGCCCCTCGCTGGCCCATTTCTGAGGCAGAACAGGATCCCTGCTGTCCGAGGGAGGTCCCCTAGATTCCGGAGCCGGGGTTAGAAAACCCGGAGCCTGGGGAGGCCCCATTCTCTGGAGGCATTCTGGAGGGGCGAGGGGCGCTTTTGGTGACAGCCAGGAGTCACCTCCAGGGTCTCCCCGGGGCTAGTGGCATCGGCTTCAGGGCCTATTGAAATTTTCTGGGCCCCTCCATCTCTCCTCGAAATTGGTTTTCAACCTAAGGGAACCCTCTCCTGGAGGGGGGAATGCTGTCGTTTTCTTGCAGTGCTCAAGAGGCCTTGGAATGACGGCCACCCTGGGAGCTTGCGTGTGATGTAACTGGGGTCAGATACTCGAAGCCGGGCTGTCTTTTCACGGGTGGCAGAGTCAGGGCCTCACCCAGCACAAGGAGCAGGCAGTGTGGGGGGTGCCCTCTGACCCCTGACCCCTGACCCCTGGGGCCCCTGCAGCCCTGCCTGGGTAGGATGTGAGGTCAGGCCCTCTAGGATACAGGGCTGCTAAGATCTTCTCAGGCAGGCACTGAATATCATTGATAAATCATTAAGTCAGATAAACATGCTTGATGTTTTCACGACTGAAAACAAGACTCATTTCCTCTGTGAAATGCCACATTTTTAGTGGAAATGCTAATGGCCCCGGGAAAGGTTAGCATTTGCCTCAGCTTCAGAGACTGCGGTGTTTGATGGCTGCTATGCCTGGCAAGGCCACCCTGCTGCCTCTGCTTCCCAAGGGGCCCGTAACAGCAAGCCAGGCCTGGTGCCGGCCCGACTGTGAGGTCCTCCCTCCCCTCGCTCCAGCTGCAGGGTGCCCACCCTGCACCCTGGCTCCATTCCCAGAAAGAAATCAGACAGGTGGCTGGGAGAAAAGTTTGAAATGTGTGGCCGAGTCTCTTCCTGCCCAGGGACAGTGGTAACCTGGAGGAGGAGGAGGCGGTGGTGACATCACAGGTGTGACCACCCGTCCTGGCCCCAGACCCCTCCCTCCTTCCTGGGAGTGAGGGGGTTGCCAAGCCACTGACAGGGAAACCGGATGCAGCCTGCGGCCCGCCCTTCCCCATCTCTGCACAGAGCCCCTAACCTCACTGGCCCCGCCCCTTCTAAAGAGAGGTGGTCATTCCCATCCAACTCCATCCCCTGGCTTTTGTGTGATGATAAGTGTGGGAGCATTTTCTAGTGGGCGAAACACTAACGTGAAGGGTTTGTAACGTGACCCCAGGGCACGCAGGGGAGAGGGTACCTCGCCTGCGCTTCACACTTGGACGCCCGCCCGTGGTCAGTTACGATCCCCCTGGGACCCCTGTCCATTATTTGGTAACCCTGACCACAGCAGCGCTTTGAGCCCCGCCCCTGACCTTACGAAATACTTTCCAGTGCTTCTAATGCAGTCCCCCCCAGTGATCTCCCAGTTACCCCCCATTGTACAGAGAAGAAAACTGAGGCCCGGAGCAGTTAAGTCACCGGCCTGGCCACCTGTAAGCAATGGTGCCGAGTCAGGCTTGTCTAGTTCTCAAGTCCACGGTTTCGATCACTGTGCAGCCTTAGTCACCCAGCTGCTGTGGCCTGCGTCCACCGCGTCCAGACATCCACCTTCCTACCTCCCCTGCGGCTGGAGCACCAGGCTCTCTTTGGAGTCAAACTGTGCCTTGTCACCCCCAAGGAGGGCCCCACACACCACCTTTGCTTGTGACAAAAGCACAGGCAGTGTCTCTGTGCCCTTTGACTCTCATTTGAATTTAACTCCTTTCTTGGGGGGAGGAGGGGGCGTCCCAGAAAAACCGGCCTGGCCTTCACAGGGAACACGGCTCCCTCAGGGCCCAGGATCTTTTTGTAAGGCCTTTTTAATGGTTGCGCTATCATTCGTTATCAGAAAATGCTTGCTGCAAGCACTTGTCTGCACATTAGCTAGAGTGTGCTCTCCTGATCGAGTTAAACAGATAAAATCCCCACCCTCGTAGAAACTACCGTTCACTACACACCAGGCTTGACAGACGACGAGTATTTATTTTCCAACTGCTTTATCTCTGTAAAATGATACGCCGAGTGACTAGAAGCCGATCGAGTGTGTAGAAAGAACTGTGCCCTTAAACTTATGTAAACAGTCTGGGTTTTGAACATTGAACACTTGGGTCTTAGCGAGTTCAACACACTTTGCGTCCCCGAGACTGAGGACCCTACCGCCCCCTTCCACGTTCATCACTGCGTACTCAGCACTGAGCACACCTTATTTTACTTGTTTTTTAGTTTTTTTGTGTGTGTGTTTCTGAAAAATTAATACATACCCACGGTAAGACATCCAAATAATCCAAGAGTATATATATATATATATGTATATATATATACACATATATATATAATGAAAGAAAAAATAAGCTCCCTCTAATGGAGGTCAGCCTCCCATTCCCCCTCCCCAGAGTCAATCGCTGTTATCTCTTATCTTGTGTATCGTTTCTGAGCAATTCTATGCATTTACAAGTTTATAAATATGTATATTTATATATCTATTTTTAATACAAATGATAGCATTCTATACACACAGTGTTCTGAAGCTTGCTTTTTTTCGCTTGTTTATTGGAGGTGGTTCCAAATTCAAATGAGGGCCCGTCTCTTTCTTTAAACCGAGCACAGTCCCTTTGCAAATACGCAGCAGTAGTTCGCAGAGTGTTTGGGCAAACGAATGAATGAATGCGTGAGTGGAAGAATCAGATTTTCTCAGGATCTTCTAGAAGCTAGAACATGCCCCCCGCCCCCCATTTTCTCCGAGGGACGCAGGTCACTGCTCACCTTTTCTGTCACTTAGCAGGACTCCTAGGAACTGGGAGCAGGGAGCCCAGGTGCCAGGTACGGAATTTCTGTGAGGGCCCTATTTTAAAATTACTTTTTCCCTATTGGAAAAGATATAGAATTGTTAGAGAAAAAATTTTTTTTCCTTTTTTTTTTTTTTTAAAGATTTTATTTATTTATCTTTAGAGGGGAAGGAGAGAAGGAGAGAAACATCAATGTATGGTTGCCTTTCATGCATCCCCTGCTGGGAACTGGCCTGCAGGGAACCAGCCTGCAACCCAGGCATGTGCCCTGGCTGGGAATTGAACTGCGATTCTCTGGTTCGCAGACCTGTGCTTGATCCACTGAGCTATACCAGCCAGGGCTAGAAAAAAAAATTTTTAATGCCTATTTATAATCCCATCTTACCTTTGCGGTTTTCATTTCTGCATATCCCTGTTCCATCCTTGTTCAATTTATAGCTTCAGTGTATGGTAGGACAGTGGGTAACATCGAACATGTGTGGGTGACAGACATTCTGATCACATTCATTCTCTTATTTTGCCTCATAATAAGCCTATGAGACAGATGCTATTATTACTCCTTTGCAGATTCGGAGGGGTTGAGTCATTTCCCCAATGCCGTAGAGTGAGTGACAGGCAGAGATGGGGTTCACTTGGGTGTGGAGGAGATCCATTCACGGCCCTGCCCCAGGTTTTGTGCCCTGCATCTTCCTACTTGACATCATGTCTCGGACATTTTTGTGTTTCTCCACAGTCTTCTAATCAGCATTTTCAGTCCTTGTAATCATTTTCAAACCAGCATAATTTACTTTCCCGATTACATGGGAATGCCCTCCTTCACCACTGCAGGGAACAGTGCAGAGCATAGAGCTTTATTTATTTTTAGAGGGGAAGGGAGGGCGAAAGGAAGAGAAACACCAGTGTGTGGTTGCCTCTCACACGTCCCCTACTGGGCACCTGGCCCGCAACCCAGGCATGTGCCCTGACTGGGAATCGAACCAGCAACCCTTTGGTTTGCAGGCCGGCACTCAGTCCACTGAGCTACACCAGCTGGGGCAAGAGCATAGAGCTCTTCACTTCTACAGACCTGGTTCATCGGTATTGATCCCTGTTTCTCCTGACTGAACTCACTGGCAGGTGTGACTGAATGACGAAATCAGACGTGAGGTTCCAGTCTGGACTCTGTAACTAAAGTCACTTGATCTCTCTTGGCCTTGGTTCTTGTATCTGTCAAATGGGGGGGGGGGGGCTCATAAATCTCTGGGGATCTTGATCCTGGCTAGATTTTATCTTACAGTTCTTGTGTATGTTTATGTCAAAATAGGGGACCCCTTATCAAAGGCAAGAACTCTTACTGAACTTCCTTTTTTTATTCATTTGATTTGTTGGCTTAGAGATATCCAAAAAAAAAAAAAAGGAAAAGACCCCTCCTACTCTGCCCCCTCTCCCCAAGCCAGTATCCCTTTTATTTGCATTTATTTATATTTCCATTGGCATGGGATTTATGCTTTTTCAGATAGAGCTCTGGCTCTTTTCACAAGCGCCTGTTGGGCTTTTGGGCTTTTGTTGAGCCTTTTCCAAGTTTGAACTCTCTGTTTGCTTGATGATTTGCAAACATCTTCCAACCCTTCTGTTGCCGGGGTCTCTCTTCAGCAGGGACCTGGGCCCCATGGGTTCCCGAGCCAGCTCAGTGTGCCTTTCACAGCGCTCTTGTTTTTAAAAACACTTATGATTATTTGCAAGTTTAGTTTTTAGTGCGTGGATACTAACACGTCAACAAATGTGGAATAAATTGCATAGGAAATGGGATAAAAGGACACAAGCCATTTCAGTCCATTCTCTTTTTTTTTAATTAATTTATTTATTTATCTTTAGAGGGGAAGGGAAGGCGAGAGGGAGAGAAACATCAATGTGTGGTTGCCTCTCGTGGGTCCCCCGCTGGGAACTGGCCTGCAACCCAGGCATGTGCCCTGACTAGGAACTGAACCTCGATCCTCTGATTCCCAGGCCAGTGCTCAATCCACTGAGCTACACCAGCTGGGGCTGATTCAGTCCATTCTAACTGGGAAAAGCGCCCCCCGATGCTAGAGAGTGCCCTCTCATCTTGTGTCGGGCGTGTATTGTATCTATACAATAGAGTCGAAAATCTACTAGATCTTCTAAAACTTAATCCCATAGCCTTTGCGCTCTTCTCTCTGAAAATGGGGGGATCATTGATTTTGCCTTTGATGCTTGAAGAGAAGGATTAAGCCGCTCTTTGCTTCCATCTGGCTCTCACTGAACGGGCAAGCTGCTCCGTTACCAGGCCTCCCCCTCCGGGGACAGCCCAGAGCCCACTGCATACACTTACTATTGTCCTCTGGGGTTTTCTAGTCTTTAGACCAATTTGCTTGGAGTTTTGCCCTAAGACTCGTGCACAGACAGAGCTGAGGAGTTTTGGGATCTGAGGATGGTGGGTTCTGCCTTCTAGGAAGCTCTTTGCCTAAGAAGACTTCTTATTTCTACCCCAGACTGGTTCTGGGGAGGGCTTTGGGTGAGATTTTTAAATGGGGACCAGGAGAGGACAGGTGCGGGGCAGGGACGGGGGAAGTGAGGGTCAGGAAAGGGTTAGAAAGTTGCGGAGAGACGGCACTTGGCCCCTTGTCTCAGAAACTGGCAAACGATGGTTTTTTCTGGGCCCCAGGGCTCAGCCTCCTTTCCCCTCGGGTGCTGGGAAAGCGGAGGTGAAGGGGTGAAGGAGGCGGTTCCGTTATCCCAGAAGCGTTTGTGAAGCCCCCATCCGTCTGTGCTAGATAATGGAGGGCAGACACAAACCCCGAGGACTTGTGGCTTCCTGGGCGACTGAGGTCACCCACAGGTGTGCGGGTTTTGTCCAAGCGCAGGACCCACGGCCCCCGGCCAGTCGAGGGTCAGTCGGGGCTGCTGCCTGGCAGTGGGCGGTGGGCACTGTCCCTCCTGGCTCTCCCCGGTGTCCAGTCTGCAGGGCCTCGCCTCGCACCCTCCACGCAGCTCCTGGGGACTCGGGTACCTTCTGCTTCCTTCGGGCCCACAGCCTCGGCCTCCACGTCTGCCAAGTGGCCCCGGAGCAGAGCAGGAAGGCCAGCACCCGCTACCAGGGCCCTCTGCGGCCCCTCGGGCAGGGCCCGGCACCCCCAGCAGGCGTCTCAAGCCTCCAGCCCACAGTCCAGCGGGGGAGGGACAGCAGCAGGTGACAGCCGGCCCCGGGCTATAAATAGGGGCGAGAGTCAGCTGCAGGCGGGAGCTGCGCGCAGGCAGGAGGGCGCTCGGGGCCAGGGCCGAGCTGCTGGCAAGGTGGGCTGGGTGGCGGCATGGGCTCCAGGAGGGTTCCCAGCGGAGCCTGGGGCGCAGGGGGACGGGCCGGGGCCCGGGGCTACCTCGAGGACGACGGGCCCGTGTGGACCCCCAGCCCCACCAGCCGCAGCTACCTGCTGAACGTGAGGCCGGAGACCAGGTGAGTGGCGCCCTGGGGGGTTGGTGGGGGCGGGAGGACGGGGCGGGAGGACCGGGGCCGCAGCAAGGCCTCGGGTGGGGTGGGGTCCCGGCCTGCGGAGGCCTTCACGCCCTTTCACGCCCCTCACAGTCCCCCACGGCCTCTCACGGCCCTTCCAGCCTGTGGGCCTCAGGCCTTGCACTACTCGAGGTTGCCCAAGAGGAGAAAGGGCCTCCATGGGGCGATGTCAGAGGGGCCCGCAGGGTTGCTTATCGCTCTCGCCGCGCCCGGGCTCCAGGGCCCCTGGGCTGCCTTGTGCTGGCTACTCTCAGGCCTTGGATGCCACAGTGAGCGATAAGGAAGCCAGAGAGCTTGAAATTCCTCCGGGCTGGAAGGGAGGGGAGAGCTACACCAGGTGGGGGGGCGGCGATGGGGGCCGGGGGGGCCTGGAGGAGCAGCAGGGGTGGGGGCTTCTACCTGGGGCAGGAGTTACCGGGAGGAACTGGACCTATTCCAGGGGGGTTCTTCCGCTGGGCCCAGGACTCCCGCCTCCCTGGGACCTTTGTGGGGGCTGGTTGGGGGGAGGGGGACAGGGTGGAATGGGGTACTGGCTGGCCCTGTCTGAAGATTCCCAGTGTGGCTCTCAGGGAGCCGATTGCCCTGCCCAGTGTGTGTGTGTGGGGGGGGGGCGGGCTGCCAAGGGAGGGGCTGAACTGAGGTGCCCTTTCCTCCTTCCTCGTCCAAGAGCTCAGAGCTCTGGGTGCTTTGTCTGGGGGCCTGGGTTGTCTCAAATATAGAGGCACACAGATAGGGAGCAGAGAAGCCAACAGGCGCTCGCAGGCGCCCAGACATGGGGACACGCACATTGCCATGGAGATGGGCACTTCCCGACCCCTCCGGGCAGCTCTTTCTCCCTCCAGCTCCCCAGCATATTTTCCAAAGGAAACTGTGACGGTCGGCTACCGGGATAGTGGCAGGGTCACAGCTCCCAGAACTTGGCTTGTCGTAGAGCAGAAAGCAGCCACTTGGAGAGGCTGTCTGGACGCCTCTCGTCCTCGGTTCCTGAAACAGCACAAAAATAGGCATCAAGGACATTTAGGAAAAGTCCCAGGCACTTCCTCGTGAATTGGCTGAGTTCTGTTGACCTTGGAGTCGGAAAAGTTCAAATGTAACCGGAACCTGTTTCTGCATAAAACTCGTCAAATGGTGTCACGTGCCTGGGGCAGGACCGAGGGCTTGTGTTAATGACTGAGTCAGACTGGACAAGGTTCCTGGCTGCCAAGAAAGAGTGTCCCTTGCTCCCAGCTACCAGCTCTATGGACAAAAAAAAAAAAAAAAGAAACAAAATTTGGCCATTTATTCCATCCAGTCTGTGGTGGAGCCAACTGCCTTGTAGGGGGAACCCCACAGTTGTCTCACACATCACAGGGACTTATCTGAGTTTTGCGTCCCTTTGTCTGGCCTTTGTCACTAGCAGTGGGACACGTAGGAGAGAGAAGCAGGGCCTTTCTTGGAGGCAGCAGCGATGGAGGGAGGAAGACGGGGCAGCTTTGAAACCGGGCTGCATGGGGAGGGCCAGGGCTCCGGGCTGTTCGGGGAAAACCCTGGAGACCGGAGACCGGACACCGTTCACTCTCCAGCTCCCCGGCTTCCCAGGAGTCGTGGCCCAGGTCTAGTGCCTTGCACACTTGCAGGTGGAAGCTGTGGACCTGTCGTTTTCCTCTCTGAATCAGCCGATTCTCTCCCTCTACTTCCCAGGGAAGAAATCCAGACCCAACAGAGGAGAAATCTCTCAATTCTGAGGAGAAAGGCAAAGGAAGTTCATGGTCAGGAAAGGATGCAGTTGGCCAGTGCCTTGGAACCGTGGGAGGTGCCTCCCACGCTGCCTCGGGAGGATTTTTAAAGCTCCGAGCAAAGGCAGCTGCATTCTCGCTTTTCTTCTTTTTCGGAGCAGCCATTCCTTGTGGGGGGAGGGGGCGGGGGGTCAGTGGGACCCTTGCTGTTTGGAAGATGCACTCCCCTTCCTTCCCACACTCCTCTTCTCTCTTTCCATCTCGTCATTCTGCCCATGAAACAGTTGTCAAATGCCCACCGTATGCCTGGCACGGTGCTAGGGGCTGTCGAGGCTACAGAAAGAGCTAGATTTGAAGGCTGGGTGGGTGGGGATTCATTTGAGCAGAAGGAAATAGAGAAGGCTTCTTTCCAAGCAGGGAGGACAAAAAGGCAGGGCTCAGAGGCTAGCGGCGGGCGTGTCCTGCCAGTTAGGGACACACCTGGCTACAGTTGAATGTTGGGACGCAGAGAACCGTGGTTCTAGTGGGAGCGAGAATAGGTCGAGGGCCTTACGTGCCCAGTCAAGGAGTAGAAACTCAGTATGATATGTGGTGGGGGGACTAGGGCATTTTTTTCCAGAGGAGGGGTGTGGTAGGAGGGGTGAAGGAGAAGGGGTTTGAGGTGGCCACCAGACACGGAGCCATAAGGGTCTTGATGAGAACTCATTGGCAGGAGTAGAGAGAAAGGGAGAAAGGCGGGCCCAGAAGTGTCCATCAACTGAACCTGCAGGTCGGAGGGGAGAGAGCGGTCCAGAATGGCAGGTTCAGAGCCTCGGAGTCGGGGTGCGTGCCCCTGGCATCCACGCAGCCACTGGCCCTGAAGCCATGTGTTTGGCCAGAGGACGAGTTTGGTCTTTTGGTTTGGAAGAGGTAGGCTGTCAGGGGTGCTAGCTCGTGGTTAGAGATGGAGACCATGAGTGCCATTAGCTGGCTGGGCTGCTGACCGTGAAGGGACAGCTAGCCCCACGGTAGGGACGGCGGCAAGGAGTGAGTGTAGCGGGGTGGCCCCTGCCATCTCCCGGAGAGCTGGGGGAGATGGTGACCCTGGACTCCACTGGAGGCAGGTGCGTTAGGAAGGTGGAAGGAGGGGTAAAGCGCTGGTTCATAGAGAGTGGGCTGGATCTCCACTAAGGGGCAGCCCCGGGTGGGTCCTCTCACCCTGCGGTGGCCGACACAGCCCCTAGCTAGTGTCCACTCTCAGCTGCCCTGGGGCAGAAGGGATGTTCGGGGCTCTAGGCTTTAACGGGCCTTGTGCTGGTCTGACCGAGCCGGGTGCCCCCCCAGCTCCTGCTGAAATAACTGCTTTGTTTTCTCCTCCCTCTTCTCCGCTGCCCCAGCCCGTGTGCCTTGCGTGGCCTCCTTAACCAAACTTTAACACATTTATGGGTGTTCTCCAAGCCACCTGTCTCCTTCCCGGCTTCTTAGAGGATTTCCAGGAATGGGGGGCTCTCTGCCCCTAAAAGGCTGAGTGTCGAAGCAGGAGCCGCCTGCAGGCTGGTGTGCGGTGGGCTCAGGGACCCTGCCAGGCAGCTCTGCGCCCCGCTCTTGGGGGCGGTGACTGAACTGCCTGGGACACATGTTTCTCAAAGTGCAGCCCCCACGGGCCTCCCCTCTGCCTAACGGTTTCCCTGGGCTCTGCTGCATGTAACAAGCTCTCGGTCTCAGGCAGACGGCCGTGCAGTGGGGAGACCACTTGCTCACCGGAGCAGGCCAGCTAAGACAGCTGGTCCCTTTTAATAGAAAGGCCTCTGGGCCGCAGATGATGGCCGGTTGATACTGTGCAGACTGTTGTTGATTTCGCCACCGCCTCCTCCTGGCTTTTTTGGCCTAATGATTCCATTTGCTGTTTTTGCTTAGCTTATCAAGCAGCCGGTTATCTCACCCCAGCTCTGGAAGGTAAATGCATATTGCATTGCATTTCTCTGACTGCCTTTTTCTCGGGTATGGGTGCTGAGGGGCCTTTGGGTGACGGCTTGTGCACTAACCAGGCTGCATGGGGTGAGGGGTGGGCGGGAGGGCGGGTGGCAGAGGGGGTGAGAGGCACTCACATGAGCATGGGTCTCACAGGGGCCACGCTCGACGCTTGCATGGGCCGTTTGAAAGGGGTGCAGGGGCCCAGAAATCGGCGCGGGCCCTGAGACGCCTCCCCTTGTCTGGGAGCGGCACTGTGGGACCAGATCAGGAGACCTGCTTCTGCACCCTAGGTTTTCATGGCTTTTGTCACCACCTATCTGGGGCTGACACCTTATTGCCTATCTTCTAATCAGGACTATGGCCTTACATTCTTTTTCTCCAGTCCCTTATGGTCTCTGACCGCCTTGTACTCCCCTTTCCTCTGACTCCTCTTCACCCCTGCAGACGGCGAACTCTGTGAGGTCCGGGAGACACCGTGTTGGTGTCTTCCGGCATTAGCTGGTTCTCTGAACCCGCTGCAGAGCCACGGCAGGGCCTGTGCAGGCCACAGATGCGGTTTGCCCAGGGAAGGACCGTCCTCTGGCCTCCCAAGCTGGGGACAGCTCTCTGTCGCTGGCTGAACTGACCATTATAGTCAAAGTCAGGAGCGTTTCCTGTTTGGTCCTCATCTCAGACTGGTAGATTCGGGGAGTGTGGGCTCCAGTTTCTTTACACACAAAGAACGATTTCTAAGTAGCTAACTGGTTTCAGTAGCTAATGATGTCTGCACAGGTGAGGAGCCCCTGCCACGTAGGTTTCCTGTGATGGGGAGAAGGGTAAGGAACCTGGATCTGGACGGGAGAAAGGTTATTGCAACTAGTTCAGAGTGGGACGCGGCCGGCGCTGAAAGAGATGGTCTTGGAAGTTCCTTTAAAGCAAGGCTAGATAACCAACATGAAGGGCCAGGCTAGGTTCCCTCAAACATCACGTAAAACCATGACCCTGGTGTTCTCTGGCGAACCCAAGACCAGGCTGTGATCGCCTCATGTGGTCACAGCGTTGCAAGGACTTGGAGGTGTCAGGCTGGGAACAGACCATTTCCAGGTGTGTGGACTTCCTGGCTTTCCTGGGGACTGGGAACAAGCAGCACACCTATTCCACCCCATGTCCCCGTGGTCTGGAGGATGGGGACAGGAAGCGTGTGACATTCAGTGGAACATGACAGTGTGTGCAGTTACTGTCTCCGGGCAGGCACCCCAGGCCCACCCTGCCAGGGGGCTCCCACTCAGGCCTGCCTTTCAGTTACTGTGTTTTTCCAGTGTGAACTCTCTTGCCTAATACGGCTTGGGATGTAGTGTGAAAAGCGTTTTCCCATGCAAAACAGGCGAGGTGAACCATCGGCCACCTAGCGTGAGCGCTCGTCCCTGCAAATTATCTTGAAACCTGATTTCCCTGTTTTCCCGTTCACCCAGTAGTCGAAATTATCTTCTTAGACTTTGCTCAAGCAGCTTAATCCCTGAGAGCCTAAGCCGAAGAATATTAGATCCAGGCTCCTGTTCACGAGGAAGGTAGGATTCCAGCTAAGCACGGAGGAAGTAATTAGGAATGTTTCGGATTAGTTGCAAAATCACAGAAGTGTGATCGCTTTTGGCAAGGCCGGCCGTCTGCTCTGGAAGCGGTGGGTTGGGAGTTCGTATTCCCCGAAGTTAGGGATTGCTGTCAGTGTGAGAGCAGCAAGAGATGTTTTCGGCAGTTATGTTTCCTGAGTGTCAGGGGTAGACGGTCCGGTCCTGAAGGCCTTTCTGTTTCTGAGTGGATTAAAGGGAAAGGAAAGGACATGTGTGGACAGATGAGCCGTGGGTGCAGGTGTCTCGGGGAGCGTCCAGAAAGTCTAACTGCACCCCTCACTCCAATGTCCGGTCATGGGAGAGGCCAGGGTCCCCTGTCTAGGTCCTCTTTGCCCTCCCCGAAGGCCCAGACATCGGCATTCCCGGTCGGAAGCCACAGCTGCACCCTTGTCAGTCCAGAATGACTGCACGGCAAACGACAAGTTGAATCAGAGGTGTAGAGCTGCAGTTTCTGTCTGTCCGTCCCACAGACTCCCAGCCTGCCCACTACCCGGGGTGAGGAGGTCGTGGGGGGACACTCACTGCCTGGACGCGACCACCCCCTCCTCCGGGGCACAGAGAAAGGCAGCTTTGAGTGACTTGTCTTTCTTGTCACAGTTGCCCCTGCTGCTCACGACAGGGTGTGTGGATTTGGAGAGGGGAGGGCAGGGCACGGCTTCTGCACCGAACAACCTGGCTGTGTGGTCACGCTTCACGCCTGGGGACGCACTGAGTCTCTGCTGGCCCACGAGGGGGTTTGGCACGGCCCTGCGCTTCCCGTGCCCAGGAAGGAGAGGACTGTAAATGCTGGGCAGTGTCGACGCACCTGTGCTGGACTCGGTGTGCCCGTGAATGCCTCCGAATTCCGGGAGGTGGACCGTCGCAGGGAACTTAGTGTCCTGTGTGTAGTTTGGCAGTCCTGCCGGCTGGGCCCAGAGCCGCCAGCCATGGGTCCCCTGGAGCATGTGGTCTCCAGGAGCGGAGCAGGGGGCCGTGGCTGGCTGCCCACAGCAGAGCCCCGTCTGGGGTCAGAATTCATGTGAGTCTCTCTTTTCCAATACCCTTGGGCACTGGGGTCTGGACCCCTGGCGCTGGCTGGCTCATTCTCTGTCTGCTATGGGTCTGTGCTCACAAAGGCAGGGTCTTTTCTGTTCCCGAGCCCAAGCTTTAGGAATTGGCTCGCAGGCTCCTAGGACCTGTGCATTCTTAAGGGTTGGCCAGCTTTCCCCTCTCTGGGCTGCGTGGCAGCTCTGCTGTGGCGGGGGTCTCCCTCCCTGAGGCTGGGTCCACGCACGGGCTTCCCTGGTAGAAGGTGGAGGGGGAAGCAAGGTCCCTAATGAGGATGGTGTTGGGACGCCATCCTGGCGTCCGGCACACTCAGTAGTCTGGCCGGTGGTCCGCAGCCTTCGTATTGTGATGGGTCTGGGTCCGGGTTCCATTCAGTACCTCGGTGCCTTGGCTGCCAACCCCTGGCCCAGAGGCCTAGGCTTCCTTGAAGGAAGACTTGATCAGGTGCTGCCCATGGCCCCGGCATGACAGACAGACACAGTAAGACTGAAGCTGCCTCGGACCTGCCAGGCTCTGGTGAACTGGGGGGGGAAGGCTCCTCTGAATGGTTCTCTGCCTTTCCTAGGAGCACCTTCTGCTCCATCATTGCTCAGCTCACAGAGGAGACCCAGCCACTGTTCGAGACCACGCTCAAGTCCCAGGCCGTGTCCGAGAACAGCGACGTCAGGTTCACCTGCGTCATCACAGGTAACTCGGCCATCTCTCCGTTCCGTCCACATGGCCTCCGTCCATGGCCCGAGGGTGCCATGGAGACGGGGCGGGGAGGGCATGGGCTGTGGGCATACACTGCCGTCTTCATTTTCTCTCCGGTTTCATCTCCCTGTGTGGGCTGTGGCCCCGTCTGCCTCCCGTCCTGGGGCCGGCCGCACCACCCTGCTCCTCTTCCAAACCCGCCTTCAGCGAGGGCCTCTCACCCGTGGGCATGCGCACACAGCTGGTGACTCTGAGTTCCAAGACAAGGAGCCATTCAGTTGAAAGACACCTTTGAAGCCTTCTCCCCAAACCTCCCTGTTTTACGAGTTGAGTCGTTTGAGGCTCGGGAGCCTCAGGCCTGGAGACAGTGATGGGCAGTGATTCTGACGGCAGGCCCTGGGGACAGACCACCCGGCTGGGAGTGCTGGCCTGTCCCCCTTTTTAGTTACGTGATACGGAGGAGGTCAAATAACCTTTCCATGCCTCATCGGTACAGTGGGGCTGATCGTAGCATGAACTTCAGAGGTTTATTGTGAAAACGAGTACACTTTAGCCGCAGAGCATTTGGAATAGTACCTGGCGCAGAGTAAACACCATGTTACGTGTTGGACAATAAGCCCATATCGTTGGCATTTCACGGAGCTCCGTGATAGGGTTTGAAGCAGCAGGTCAGTAGACGACGAAGCAGAGTGATGCTCCTTGGCAGGGGTGGGTAGAGGGTTGGGAAGCAGGGCCAAGGCACTGCCCCTCCCCCAGGCCTCCCCACAGACTCCCCCACTGCACCATCCTGACCCACTTCAGGTCGTGCAGGGCCCACCGATGAACGCCTGCCCCTGCCAGCTGTGTAGCCAGTGGTTCAAGGGCTCCGGGTCAAGGTTGCCTCCACAAGGGCATGTTTTGTATTGAGGGCGTTGGGAGTTTCCGGCTGTGGCACATGCCCTGATTCTGGGGGACTTGTCTGCCCCAGCCAGCTAGACCACCTCTCTGGGACTGGGTTCCCCTGGGTGGGTCTCACCTGTGACCCAGGATGCTCTGGCCTCCAGTCTGAGAACAGTGTCCCTTCCAGGAGATACACAGGGGTGCTGGTACCCCTTACCTTTGTGCAGCATAACACATTTTGCAACGTCCGTCTCTTTCCATCATCACTGAAATTTTACACAACCCCGTGAATGGCTATGATTTGTTGGACTTTACAGGGAAGGGCGCTGGAATAGTTCCCACAAAGCTGGGGCGGAGGGGAGACCTCCTTTGCTCCACCACCTCAGATGCTGTCCGCACACACCAGTGTCCTCTGCCTTCCCGTGGCGCTGGCGGTCAGGTGTGGCCACGGCCCAGCTCCATGCTTTTGCATGTGCTATTTTCCCCACATAAAGAGCCCTTCCTCCTTCTTTTTAAAGAAAATTCAGTTTTATTTTACCCTAATAAAACTAACACGTGCACATCATTTAACACTCCAAATGATACTAAAAGGCATATATCAAAATATAGCATTTCACCCTTTCCTGGAAGCAAAGTCAGCTTTTAGCTGCCGCTTCTGGTGTGTGGACATTTCTATATTACTGTGTAATATGTCAATGCTGCTAATTTCTCCTTCTTTTTCTTCTTTTTTTTTACATCCTTTCCTGAGGATCTGTCCATTGATTTTTTAGTGAGAGAAAGAGACAGACAGACAGACATTGATGTGAGAGAGAAACATCAATTGCTTCCATACACTCTCTGACCAGGGATCGAACCGGCAACCTAGTATGTGTCCTGACCAGGAATCGAACCTGTGACCTTTCCATGTATAAGACAACGCTCTAACTAACTGAGCCACACTGGCCAGGGAAATACCGCTAACTTTTGAGTCTTCAAGTTACATGCCATCTAGTCTTGTTTTTATGGCAGGTGAAGAATTAGTTCTCTACCGTCATTTTCTCTGCTGCCCATATTTATTTTCTCAATATAGTTAGTCATATCATAATTTTTGCTCAAATCCATATTTGCTGTGTGCCTTATTCTAGCTGCGCAATGTTATTTATAACTGGCCTTGTAGTACATTATGAGTATATTTCTTCTGTTTTTCCTGAAGCTAATATTCTATAGAAAGTACTAACTACTTTAGTACTAACTAGTTTTTCACTTAATTAGTTCTTGGTATCTATTGCTGATTTTTCTTATACCCTCTAATAGCTTTTTAGTACCATTTTTTGCTGGGTCATTGTCATTGGTACTTAGTTGGTTACCTCCTTGGAGACATTCCTCTTGCAGATTTCTGATCTTCTCTCTGAGCCGTTGGCCTGCAAGGCCTGATCCACAGCTGTCCTCCTGGGTCTTATCTCTGGGTTGATTCCGTTTCCTGGACCTCAGGTCTTCCCTTTTCTTGGTTCACTGCACCGCTTTATCGAGCAGTAATTTCGGCAGAGCCGGAGGGCAGTACAAGCAGCAAGAGGCCTTGTGATGCCCCGCTCTCAGCCCATCTCTTCTGAGTTTCGGTTCCAATGTGACTCAGTTGCTCTATGTCCAGTGTGCGCTTGCCGTCCTAGGATCTCCCTACACCGTCATCCGGTAGATCCCCTTTATGTCTCTCCTGTAATCAATTTCCTGTGTTTTGTATCCACATTTCCCTCTTTCTTGATTTACATTTTTGCTTTGGTAATTTCCTAAGAAGAGCATATGGGAAGTAGATGTTAGACAACTCGTATCTGAAAATGTTGTTTTCCCTGTGTCCCTCATGATAGTTTGGCTGGGTATAGAAATTGAAGTTGATATTAATTTTCCCTCAGAATTTCGAAGAGATCCTTCCATGGCCTTCTTGCTCCTGATGTCACTGTTTGGAGCAGTAAGTAAGAGCTCCGAACAGTTCGGTTTGGAAACAAACATGTTTGGTTCCAAATTCTTTGCGTGAGACCATTTCCCCCGTCTCGGGTAGCCTGTAAGGAGCTCTGCTGTTTTGTAATGGCGCGTCTTGATACACGTCTCTCTTCACCCTGGGGTGTGCTCGGGCACTTTCAGTCTGGAAACCGAATGCCTTCAGTTCTGGGAAATTTGAGATTATTCTGATGTTGGTTCGTCCTCCTGTCCTCTCTGTTCTTTCTGGAACTCCTGCCAGTGCGGGCATCTGCTCCCAAGGACTTTCCACCTTATTTTCGGATCCTTTCCTCCCCTTTCATCTATTTGTCTTTCTGTTCTACTTTCTGGGACATTTCCTCACTGTTATCTTTCAAGTCTTCTAACTTTTAACTTCTAAGAGCTCTATTTAAATCCTTTTCAACAGTATCCCGTTCTTTTCACAAATGTGGTATCTCCTGTTTACTCTCTGACATGAGCAATGATAACTTTCTAAAAACTTTCCTTCTCCCTCGTTTTTTTTACCATTGACTTTTTCTATTTATTTTTGGTCCATAATCTTCTATTTACAAGTTTTCCTCAGAGATCCAGGAAATGCCTGACAGACGATGACTAGAAAGCTGACTAGAAGTTCTAAGCAAGTCGGAGGGGCCTGGCGCCTGGGGTCTTCCCGGCAGGGTGATCTGGGCGGGCGCCGTGGAGAACTGCCTGTGCTTTAGCACTCCCTTCCTCTCGGACCTCACGACCCCCCAGCAGACAGCCCCCCAGCAGCTTGTCTGGAGGGTGAAAGCTCTGTGGGAAACGCACGGATTAAAGGGTTCAGTGGGCTTTCTGCATATAACACTTATTCTCTATATATGGTTATTACATTTTTCCGTTTTCTACAGAATAGGTGTGCCCTTACCTGGCTCACCCTCAGGGCCGAGTTTTATCTTCCTCGTTATAAACCTCACCTTTGGGTATGGTGGGGAAGGAGCTGTCCCCCAGAGATCTGGTTGGTTTTTAAGCACCTTTTCACCTTTTTCCTCCTCCTTTACCCCCAGTCCCAGATGCCCCTGGTGGGCCATTCTTACACCCTGTGGGGGTTTTCTGGTGCTCAGCGCAGGGTTCTCAGTTCTCCTCACTGCCGGCGTAGGGTCCGGACGGCGAGGCTGTCTTGGGTCTGCCCGGAGTTTCTGCTGGTCCGTCTGGTTTCCCACTCCCCCAATGTCGTGTCCCCTGTTGCCCTCCCCACCTGTTCTCCCCTTACTTGTGGTTTTACCTCTAAGAAAAACACCTCACTGGTGTCGTCTTAGTGGTCTGGGGGAGAGAGTGAAAGCAGAGGGTCTCCTTATTTGGCCTTTTTACCTAGACACCCACTCCTTCTTTGCCTGGCGGATTGCTTCCCATCTCGCAAGGCCCAGCTCAGAGGGCTCGCCCTCCAGGGGGCGTGTTCAGTGTCCGTGTGGAGAGCGCTTGCCCCCCGCGCCATGGCGCAGTGCCTTTGCACAGCTTTCTCTCTCCGCCAAGACTGTGACATCAGAACACGCACCTGACACACGGTGCCTCTCGGGAGCCGGCACGAGGGAGGCGCTCAGTGCATGTTCGCCAAATGGCCATGCTGTGACCAAACCCTGCATCTCTTCCACTCCCCACGCTGCTTGTTCATTCCAGTGGCAGCTTCAGCGCCGTGGCAGCAGCACCTGCTTGTAGGGGCCTCCGGCCACTTGAGAGGAGCAGGCTTGGGATGGCTCCCCCTTTGCCCCCTGGTGTCCTCTGCCCTTTGTAGCCATGGACTCTGAGAGGTACACAGAGAACCTGACGTGAGTCTGACTTACAGAATCTTGGGGTGTTTTATCGAATACTCCAATGTCATCATGGCGGCAAGGGTTTTCATTTCAAGCCCCAACCCAAAGGAGCAAACCTTTCTGCCCCCAGTTGCCATGACGCTCGGGTCTCAGCAGATCCCCTGCTGAGACCTACAGCATAACCCCCCGGGCAGTTGGGTCACTGGGGCCCCAGCTCTCTCTGACTGCTGCATCCTTATCCATTGTTCTGCTTAACTCCCTCTTCCCCTTCCTCACTTCCACACATATAAAAAAAAAACCCGCAGGCTACCTGAGTTTTATGCAGCAGATCAGGAAAGAGTTGTCTGTGGCCACCATAGCACACTGTAAATAAGCCAT